TTTCGATATTTCAATATCTCCATGGCAGAAACAAGTGCCATATACTTTTGCATCAAAGCGTTTTAGAGATGCTTATTATCATGATATTGGTACGTAACATTTGAATTGATAAACAAGATATTGGCAAGAAAAATGTTTATGTTAAGAAAAGGTTATACGTAAATTTTCTATTTTGAAGATCTTGAATTTCATGAAGCTGTATATCCAATCCGAGTCTCTATATATGAAGTATATAATTATGGGAACGTAACTGAAGTTTGGGCCCAAGATTCTGATGATGAGAGTCGGTGGCTTCTATTGTGGGATGGAGACCCTCAGTTCTACGGAATTTCTACATCCTATAGACGCAGACATGCGGAATCACGGATATTTTCCCCGCTTTTACGGTCTTGTAACCAAACGTTTAAAACCAAAAAGCTTAGACTACAATTTATATCCAACTCTTGCACACAGCTAGATGCTGTGTTGCTGATCGGTACATCAAAATTGATTTTACCTAAAAATCCTGAAGATGAGAGTTTATCTGAACTGTTACATCGCATTTGGGTACAAAGACATTTTTGCTCGCGTTATTGTATTTGTTGTGCTAAACAAAAACAAAATGACTCTCAAAAGAAAGATGCTTGGAACATGTATCTATTGGAGGACTTGTATAATACAACACGTGATTATGAAAATGCACACTCGGATATACTTGATCTTCAAAAGGAATTTCCTAAATATTGCGTTATTTGTAAAAGGTATTATAATTGTCGATATTAAGTAATATTCAATCTTATTTTATTTACTTAATAATGAAAATGTGTTTCAATGTTATTTGCAGCGATGTAGCAACGAGTTTTCACAAGAGTAAGCTCGCGCACAAGCAAGTATCTCGAGAGGAAGATGTGCCATCTTCTAAGCAGGGACATGTGAATCACCCTTTATTAAGAAATCATTGGAATTATGTAAAATTTATAGAAGATAACAAACTCTCTTCGGGAGACTCCAAGGAGCAACTTGACAGTTTTTCTGCGTTTTCTGTAGAATATTTTTGAAGTTTATTTTTCGTTATAATTCATTACAACATAATCTTATTTATTAAAATTTTATGTTTTGTTTTTGCAGGATGAAATAATACTAATGATATTAAAATACTTGGATATGAGGTCGTTTTGCCGTATGAGCAAAGTAAATAACCGCCTCAATAATTTAACACAGGATCCTTTTTTCTTTAAATGTTTGAACTTGCGAAATTTAAGAAAAGAGTACTCTAGGGATTCATCCTTTTGTTATGATAAAATTCTGTCTTATTTTGCATCCAAATGTAAATATTTACAACAGTTGGATCTTACAGCGAGCTGCATTTCTGCTCCGGATTTCGTAAACTTTCTTCAGAGTTGCGGCGATGGTTTAACGCACTTACGATTAAACAGTTGCAATTTTGTTGACAAATTATCTATATTAAAAATTTCAGAGATATGCAAAAATTTGAAAGGTACATAAATAAATATGATTGTTAAGATTACAGATAAACCGTATGTGACTAATATATACATTTTTTTTTAGTATTGGATCTCAGTTATTGTACTCTGGAGGGAATGGACCAAGAAGTTTCGAGTCTCGGAAATCTAGAATTTCTAGAGAAATTAGACCTTGAATGCTGCGGTATAAGAGCTGAATCTCTTTGCAAAATACTTCAAAAAACTCGCCGGATGCGTGACTTAAACTTGGGCATGCTGCGTTTTTCGGTCGATCATAGAAGATTATTACATTTAGACGCAATCACAATACAGTTAAAAAATTCGTGTCCAGACTTGGAAATAATAGATTTATCGGGCAATATTATTACATCGCAAGGTATTCATGCCCTCGCTGAATGCAAGAATTTACGAAAACTGACAATGATTGAGATGTACGTGTGTGCTAGATTTTCTTTTAAAACACATATTCTTTATCAAAATGTTTATTTACATTTCTTGCAAACATTATGAAATGGTTATGTTGTTTTTCTTATTGCGATTGAAAAACCGTATAATAATATATGACTTTTGTTACAGAAACATATTCGCACCGGCAGGATATTGCATAATCGATAAGCATAGCTTGCATAGATTGTTTTCCTTCTGTCAACGCTTAGAAGAAGTCAATTTGATTGATCACAATTTTGTGTTCTGTCCCAATTTCTACGTCCACGATGACGATCTGACACTGTGTAAAAACTTAAGACAATTATACTTGTGGGGTATATCTAGTTTCGCAATTCTTGAGCAGTGTCCTAAACTACAAACAATCTACGTTCTGCGGGACGGGTCCATCGCCATGCGTGATGGCCAGGCGTTCGTTGCTCAGGCGAAGGAAAAATATCCACACATGTCTATCCTTAAATATCAAAAGCAATTCGATCTTGATGATAATGATGAGGGATATTATGATGATGAAGGAAGGTGGCATTTTTACCAATTTGGCTGAAATTTAACAATATATTATGTATTTTGGCGTGTTAAATTCGAATATAAAAGCTAAAATCGTCGCTATCAAGTAGAAACAAAAGTTATAAAGTACTAAAAGTGACAATTTTCGGGTTAAGAAATATTCTATATCGACAGGGTATGTACAAGTACATACATGAGCATCAGAGAAAGCATGCGCAGTGATGTAAAAGTGCGTAAAATTTGAAATAAATAAGAGTTTTGAAATGATTCTTGTATATTTACATATATTATAGTATAAAAAGAATTTAGAAGTTTGCGAGGAAGGGCCTCCACCCTTTCCTCTGCACTCCCACGCCCAAAAAAAATTTTCCAAACCTAAACCTATTTCTGACAAACTGAAATTTGATTTTGCACTTTTAATCCATGCAGTATCATGCAAAAATAATTTCTCGCGATAATCTCAGTTTCCAGACCGTGAGCCATATCTGCAATCGTTTTTTCGTGAAACTTATTATTTTTAAATTGAATTGGCAAGTTCTTTAAAATTTTGTTTCCTTGTTTTGATTTAATGTGCTTTTTTCAAACACACCTTATTTGTTTAGACCTTTGGCTTAAATTATTGGGAACATCCCGATTGACTTTCCGACTTTATACAAATTCAAACCCATTCGTTTTTTGTCACTTGAATATTTTTATACGAGTTTTGAAGCTTCTCAGGATAGGTACTCAATTCTTTTTAAAATTATTTCTTTTTAAAGCCTTTGTCTTGTGAAAGTCATTCATAACTGTGATATGTATCACTAGTTTGGAATTTTTATAATTTTTTGCATACAAAACGCAATTCTTCCAGATGCTTCTCTTTATTTCGTAAATGGATACTTTAGCGACAGAATTTTTTTTTGTATGTGTTTAATTTTATCTACTGAGCAGCATTTGTCTAAAATCTATAATTCTTTGTGAAACTGAACTATTTGTGGTGCACCCTTATTTTTTGCATTTTGCGGATTGGACGTATATAATCACTATTATAAGATTTATTCTATATTAGTGGCTGGTCAGTTGTGAATGTAGTACGGTACATATTCTTCATTGACATAAATACACACAACTGCGACATGTTTGTGCACTCTTGTTTAGATAGATCAGCCTTACAAGCGTAATAACAGTTTGAAATGAAACAATGATCGTTTCAGAACTAAGAAACGTATTTATAAGAAATTCTTACATAACTGACGAAAACAATTATTTTTTTACAATTTCGAGAAAATATATTTTTTATGAAACAGAAAATATATAATTATTGCAGTAGTCCAAAATAGTTACATTTATAAATTATATTATTTATGAACAATAGTTTTATTTAACTAATCGTTTCTAATATTTCTTAAAAAATTAACTACAATGTCTTTCAATTTACAAATTTATTTATTATAGTTTCGGATAAAACTTTTAATTAATATAATTCGCGCAGCACTGTTATTGACTGCAATTTCTTTGACTTCACGTGATTACCTCGAAATAATTTTGTTCCTAATTTTTTAAAAGGAATAAACATCGAAAATGTTAAATCTTTTTTTATAAATAATGATTTTTATAAATAAGTCTCAGCAAGGCTTTAATTTTAGGTGCATACTTAACAACGTTTATTTTTTGTTAGTATAATTAATGCTGCATTTCTTATTGGCTACAATATGTTAAAGTTTTTTTGTACCTGTCGATCGTTTCCATATGAAGTATACGAATTTTATACGTTAGCGAGATTGATTATCGATCAATAATCTCGTTTCTCATACAAATACAATATCTTTAGAGATTTTGGACGAAAGAAATCAGTATTAACATTTTGAAATAAATTACAAGAGAGGTTATTTTGTCGAATTTTTTATTTGAACTAAACATATATTTTACTTTCCCTTCACTTGTATTTGCATTTCTTCGCGCCAAATAGCTACTCGCCTTTCTTGTGCCAGAGCTCTGGTAACGCGCATATGCGCGCATTTTCTATAGTAAACGTTACGTATACTATAGATAAATGCGCGCATATGCGCGCGTTACGGAACGTGGCCAATGTTCGAATGCCGAATCTACGCGATGCATGGTTAAATGTTTTATTACAATAAATATAAAATACAAGATTGATACAGGTTTTGCTTACTAATTTAAATGAATAGTGACGCCAGTTGTCCCGAAATCAATTTATTGTTCCGTGGCCATCACGTTTTACTAATAATGGCGAAATATTTGAAATATGTAACTTTGGTACGTGTGACACTACGTGAGTCAAATGGATGGCTAATAAAAGCGTACAATTGATTAACTAAAATTATACAATTGAATTTTATTATTGCATGTACAATGTACAGTAATTGAACTCTTATTTGCGATATTAATATCGCAAAAATATATTGTGTAAAATTACACAGCACGAAAATTATGGGCGTAGCACGGACACACACACACACACATACACACACCCCACGCACCAAGGGGAGACTTTATCGGCAGTGCCAGAAAATGGATATACCAAATAGTTCCAACGTTGAAAATGGGTGCGAGTGGCGTTTCGAGCAGTCCACTCGGCACTTCAATACTCCAATAGTCCAATAAGCCATGGCCACATCCGCTGTTTCGCCGAAACATGTGGCCGCGAGCGTATGGTGAGTGATTCGACGTTTGCACGTGTGATATAATACGAGTCCAGATTAAAAACATACGTACAGCAATTGCCGGAAGCAGTGTACACTACATAAAGTGAAAGCTGTACTCGTCGAAGTAAGTAGTCCAGTCTAATAATTCATTTTTAACGCGCACGTATTGCACGTAACCTTCTTTCGTTTTGCCGCTTCACTTGCCGATTTCGCGATGACAGCGATGATTTCGTGATATTTTATTTATTTCGACTGAAATCTCTCGCTTGCGATTATTTTGACTGAAATCTCTGCATTCGCATTTAAAGCGGCACTATGCGAGATAGCTTTATCATTGAGAATCCTTCAAGAATTTGTCATTAGGAGTTCTGACGATTTATCGGTTCAACAGATGTCTGTGGTATCCTCAAGAGTCAGCAGTGTGTCATCTATATTGAAAGCCGGCGGAGTTAGAGCACAGTTTATTAAGCAGCCCGGCAAAGTATATTTTAAGCTCCCGAAAAATGTTAAAAATATATTATGTAATTCCGCAAACAGTGATGGGATTAAAGAATATGAGAAACTGATACATTCGCTTAAAGAAGGTGCTATAAAGGTAATGATAGGTTAAAGACGCAAAAAAAATTTGCGTGCGAGTTTTTTACAATCTTTTAATGCATGATATATATGTATCATATGATTCATATAGTAATCTATTGGTTGCATATTATGATGCAAGATACTTTAAAGCATTCCTCTTGTTTCTTTAGGATAGCGATTTAACAGAATTTCTAACTGAAGCAAGACAATGTATATCCTTGTTAGATATTAGACACGAATCGTTTGTTCAAGCACTTCTTCAAATCGAATGGACAAATAGGTCACCAGAAGTAATTTCAACTTATAAATTCTTCTTGCAAGATTTAGTGTGTATGCAGACACTACATATAAAAATTGTAATAAATCGTCTGGTCGAATTGTTCAAACCAGGTAATTTTTGTATTTAATAGTCTAGAATAATATTTCATAAAAAATAATGTGATATTTATTACAATAATTATTTTTGTAGCAGAAGATAATAATGCTGAACATGAAATTGGACAGTTTAAAAGTGAAGATATGGAGAGGTTGAATCACATACATGACATATTGCATAAAATTTTGGAAGTAGTGCCAATGTAAGATATGGAAAAGTGACTGTATAAATTAATAATTTTTCTCATTATTATCATATGAGTACACGTTATAAATTTTTAGGTCAGACAAAGTTTTACTGCAATCTCTCGTATCGCAATTTCCATATATTGTACATGGCACTTATACACATGAAATTTATATCTATGCGTTATTACAAATTCTAAATTATGCACCTCAACTGAGATCAAATATTTTGGTCTTTATTATTAACAGGTAAGTGTTCTAGTAAAAACTCAGTAAATGAAACTCTAATTGTTTGTTAATGAAATATGGGTTTTGGACTTACCATTTATCTCACTCTTTTATTCACTCCTTTAACTTTCTGATCAACATTTTATAAAATCAAGGTATACATGGAGTAGGAATCGGAGCTGTATTTGGAATCTGCTGATTGCTGTAATACTTAATTAATTTTTTATTTTATTGATATGTTAATAAATAATGTATTTGTATTTTAGGCTAGTGATGTTGGATGTCAATATTCCCCGTGAAGAAACAAGCAACGATGAGGAAGACGATGTAGTAGATGATTGTATCAGCTCGAATGGAAAAGCTGATAATAACGATCTGATCAAAATAAATAATGACACGGACAAGAGAAATACTGTCCATCCAACTGCAAGTACACTGGATTCGTGTATGGAATTATTTCTTAAATATATGAACGAGTTTTGTTTTGCGAATGGCGTTCTGCAGATAGAGAACTTGAGAACGCTATACTTCGATATTCTCTGCGCATTTGAAGCAGTAATATTACCTACGCACGGTAGTCAATACGTGCAATACATTATGTTCTACATATGCAGTTTTAGAACCGTAATCACGGAAACGTTCACAAATTGGTTGTGGCATAAAGTAACCGATCCTAATGTAGCGCCAGTTCTTCGACAAACAGCTGTTTACTATATTTCTAGCTTACATGCTACTGCCTCATTTATCTCTCCCGGGTAATTATAGCATAACACATTAATTTTGACAACTTTATGGTATGTACCTTAGAAAAGAGTATACCTAACATTATAACGTTATTTTTTCTTAGATTAGTGAAAATGACAATGTCCAACTTGACACTATGGATACACAAATATATCATTTCTCAAGAAGACACGGAATACATTGATGACGCAAAACCGCACGCCGTGTTTTATTCTGTTTGTCAAGCTTTCTTTCACTTATTCGTCGCGAGGCACAAACATTTTGTCGAATCAAAAAATGGTGAGTGCATATTTATCATATGCATATAAGATTTAACATAAGCGACAGTTTTAAAAACAGTTTTTCTCTCTTTTCAGGAATATTATTTCTTCAGAATCTTGATATATCGAAAATCGTTACTTGTAAATTAAATCCCCTGAAGATGTGCGACACCAAAATCGTTCGCGATTTCGCCGATATTACGAGCACGTATCAACTGGCCTACTGCTTCGCTGTAATCGAGAACAACGAGCGCAATCGATTACCTATTTTCGGAATGAAATCCTCTTTGCCCATTTTGGTTCCTAATTTTTTCCCGTTTGAGTCTTACACGTTAGAGCATAGCAGGCGAAGGATAGCTCCATTATTTCGCAATACTGTAGCAAGTATTGACAGTCGATCTGTTGAAAAATGTAAATAAAAAAATGCATATATACAATTTATATATATATGAATAAATTATAGTACTGCATATCTTTCAATTCGTTGCTAATAATCAGGGAAAATACGCAAAGTACGGATTTTTTTAATTTACTATGTTCTGACGAAAAATTATGTACAGTAATATATAAATAAAATGATCTTTACATACTTTGAAATGATGAAATAACCTTATGTGTATATTTTACTATCGCTATATATTAATTTAAAAAAATACCAGATGGGCGGAAAAAGTTTATATGTCAGTTCAACTCTGATGAACTTGCATAATGCAATGCAAATACAATGGAATTCCTTGTATATTAAAACTAATCAACTGATTTTTCGGTGTATCAAAAGCGGATGACTGACCAAACTCCGATACAAACTTAATTGATAAAACTTATCACATAATGTTTGTTTTATTTTATTAAAGCGAATAGAATAAATTTTTATTATTTAGTGTATGGAAAAAACAATTAGACTATTTAACTAATTATATGTGGGCGATTCTGTCGATTGAATTAATCGTTGATTAAATTAATTGAAGTTTGATTGAAGTTATCTTATGCGAGTAAAACCTATCTATTTGTAGATTTACGGATTTACGATCCATATGTTTCGACGGTTTCGACGCGGTGACGCGAGTTTGAAATTCGCGGTCGAGCGGCGTCCCGGAAGTGCGGCGTAGTGCGACTGCGCGGTGGGCACTCGGTCTTCCCTCCCTCGCCCGCCCGGCCCGCCCGTTCATCGTCGGCGGCGGCGGTGATCGCAGCGCGCGATTCGCCCGCTACGAGTGCCCGAGTGGATGCGTACAGCGTAAAATGGCGAAGTGCAGTTGTTATTTACTTGCGCCGAACGCAGCGAAAGCGAAGTGAGAGCGGAGAGGAGCGAGTCGAAGTGCTGAATCGCGTCGTTCACACGGGTGTTCGTTTACGGCGTGTCTGTGAGACGACGTGTGCGAACTATCGTGAGTATCGCTGTTGTACGGCACAGTTTTGCGAGCGCGGAACACGGTTATCCCGTGGCAAAAGTGGCCGAGAGAGAGAGAGGAGAAAAAGGATCGCGGTCGCCGTCTCGTCGCCCGTCTCCTCGCACGCGTCCCCGCGAGGAACGGCCACGTGTTCCGCGGGCGGATTGTCAATCGGCCGCCACGCCGCGCCTCGCCGCGAGATAACGTGTCGATACCGGCCTTCAGAGCCCCTCCCCGTTCCCGCAACTAATCCCTTAATCCGCGCGACGAGGTTAGGAGAGTGCCCGTGTCTAAACGAACACGGTACCGCGGCCGATTTCTCGTTTCGGGTCGCCGTAAACGCGCCGACCTCTCGTTCCCCGCGATCGGTCGGCTCGCCCGGCGGACCCCCGATCGATTCCCGTGACGGCCGTTGCGTCGAGGAGGCGAGAAAGCGCGGCCGCGACTTCCTTTGTCCCCCCCCTGGTTTTTTAGGTTATGATCGCTGCGGGGCTTTAAACTACTCCCGTAACGCTGTCGCGACGCGACTCGTTGCCTTCGATCGCCGGTCGAACGTGCTGGTTTTTCGTCGCGAGTCGCGTCCAGCTCGCATCGGAAAATCGCCGTAGCTCTCGCGTTTGCCAAACCGTCGCGGTTCCTCACAAAGCCTCCTCCGACAAGTGTCTGCGAAATTTAATCACCTTGTCCTAATTACATGTGACGTCCCTAGAATCACGTTAAAGTGTGCTTTCGATTATAATAACACGTTAATTATAAATTGTATATTTTCACGTCTTCTCACATTCTGCACGAAAAAATATTTAAACTTAAACAATCTGTCATTTATATCCTTTATGACAGCTGTTCTGTCATTTAAGATCGTGTTCATTCATTATGTCAAAAGTCGACAACTAACTCACTGTGTGTATCCATTTAAGTGTCACTCATATTTTTTGTAATTAAGTTACATTAATTTCTTAAATTAAGTATTAAAATAAACTCATTAAAATCATTATTAAGTTAGACACTTTTCTTCTTTCAATTAAGTTGTGTAATTAATGTGAATTCAGTGATTAGTTAATACATTATTAATTAGCATATATATGGGCATTTTATTTAATTAGAAACTCAAGAAAGGGCGACTACATGTAATTTCGCGTCAACCGCTCCTGTTACGCTTCACCACGAGATACGTATATTCCAAAATTTGTTGGAACGTATTTTGTGATATAATCTATGCTGTTATTTGCAAAATTACGTATAATTGATAAGACAATATATAAAACTACGAGTAATTGTATTTTTTTTTTAAGTGGACTGGCATACATATTGTTTTTCAAATTTTGTCAAAAGACGTGCTCTCTATAATTAATTACATCAATGGTGAGGCACTCTGTATATAAAATAAAATTCGACAATCTCAAAACTATAATGCTATACATTTATAGTTTCATTAAAGTTGTTTTTATATCTTTGGGATAAGAAGTTTTGCTTACAATAATGTTTCATTGTGTTGTTATTTCAACCATCTTCTGCCACAGGCTGCTATAATTTGCAAAATTATATTTGTTTGATGAATAGACCAACACGTCATATATATATATTAACCCAACTAAAATACATACATCACCGTCGTCAATTTTTTTTTTTTTTTAATTATGATATAAGGTATCTTTGAAGTACATATATTGTACAAAAGTTTATAATTTTTTTGAACTGAGGAAAGCTGCGATAAATATATATATTTCTGCAACAACAATTATTTGAAGTTAGCAGAATTTGTGTTTAGAATTTTGGGGGAAAATTAATTTTTATAGAAGACTACTTTAAAAGTTGAACAGTTTCTATTAATGTGAACTTTTATTTTTCCGTGTTTTACTCTCTACTAAACTAAAGTCTCTCTCCTTAATGAACATTAAGGGCCGGTTGTTCCAACTTGTTGGTCAGCTAACTAATAGTTAAATCATATGTCCATCTTTGTCTAATGTAATGGATAAAAAAGGATGGATAAACATATATATGATTTAACTATTAGGTAGTTTACCAACAGGTTGGAACAACCGGCCCTAAATGTTTATATTTTACCTAGTATGTTCTAATAGTGTCTTATAATTTCTGATGTAATTTTACATACATGTCTTATGAAATACGTGCACCATACAAATACTTAAACACAATCAGAATCCAGTTAAACACCTACAATTTTACAGACATGATATTCTATAGACGTTTTAATAATGTTTGCAATTTTGAAGTATATTTTACAATATTGTATTTTTTTTCTTTATACATTAACGAGTTTTTATGCTGTTAAGTTCACAATATACATATATTTCTACATTCTTTCAATAATATTTTCGCAACAATTGTATTGTTCGGACGTATTTGCTTTTGAAACACTAGAATCTATACATGTTACATAAAAGGCGGATATAATTCGTGATTGTTTTCCATAGGTTGTACCACACAAATACTAGCAGATTCTTCTACAGACATGATCTTGATGGATTGGCCTAATTCAATGTATTAGCAACAATCCAATCTTGATATTTGTTAATTGAGGAAAGATCGCATTTGCCAGCCTCTAAGTTTTGAATAATATGGCACAATATAATTTTAACGTTGTGACCAATGCCAGTGGTACTTTCACGATAGAAGAAGTATCAAGAATCTGTACTGCAGATGGGCAACGAATTCAGTTAGTTTATGGGGACGTTAATAATAGCAGTAACGGTTCACAACAGCTTGTGACTTATACTACTGCACCGCAAAACAGGCAGGCAATATTCTCCCCGCAAACTATTAATTTAGGGAATCAAATATCTGCAGCGCGATTGGAACAAGGGTAACTTATACAGCATGCATTTTCAATTGATCGAATTGCATCGGGATAGATAGAGCGACTTTAAGCTTTTGATATTTTATGAGAAATATAGAGATTCGAGATTTACTTAAATTTTCATAATTTTAAATATCTCTCAGAAGAAATACATGGGGCGTTGATATGATGACTGGTTGTATGAGATAAACTTTAATGGTTCTAAAATAATATAAATATTTTAGTTCTTAGAATATGTATCTTGATGGGCCATACATTTTTGAGATTATAATGTTGTTCCGATTCCTAAAATGACTTTATGAATATTCTTAGAGAACGCACTTAAGATTTGATTAATATTTTGCATACATTAGGATTGTATAACATGAAAGAGACATTATTACAACAGGTGCTTCTTAAAGTAGTCTTCTATCACGCTATTGAACACGCCGCGTATACTATATGTGAACATATATGTATATATGTATGTAATTAAATTTTAAATGTGATTTTGGTAAAAATAGTGAAATGTGACTTTAAGTATCTATATTTTGCACGTCTTATAAATATGAACATGAGGTACAAAAATATGTATATTTTAAATGTATAGCAGTTTATGTCAACTAATTACATTCAATATTATTTTACATAATACAATTTTTTATACAAATATTTAAAACAATGAAACTGTATTTATAGGCTAACAAAACGTGCTGCAAAAATATTAAGAAGAAATTAAGAATACAGTAAACTCTTCTTTTTTAATTTTTTATTATAGTTCTTATATTTATCTCATCTAACGTTTGTAACATTACATTCACGTTCATGTTTTTGTCGATTTTTATGAGGATAAGATTTGAGTAATTTTTTTTCAGTTTGTTCAGGAAATTGAATGTTTTATATTTTATCCAAGAGGTTTTCTTGTTCGCGTGTGCCTCAAAGAAAGTATTACCAAAGTAGATTTATATCATAAACCTGCTTACTGGTGTATTGATTATGATGTGTTGTGTATGAATGTATGTATAAAGAATTTATATTTAAGATAAAGCACATAGATCAAAAATTTAATAAAATATAACAAAATCAAAATAAATATATATTTATGATAGAAGTAATCAGAAATAATGATTAGAAATTGCAAATGGTAATTAGAATATTTTGTAAAATATATATTTGGTACAATCCATCCTTAACATGTGTGGCCTATGAGCGATCTTTTGTACCAGTGACTATTCTATTTCTATTTTAGTTTCTCAGTTTACTAAGTATATTGTATATGAGTTTAATCGATCAATATTTCTTATTAAAAATCTTAAATCTAAAAAAAATGGATTTAGCTTAAACCCATTTTAAGTTAATGTTAAAATAAGTATAATCTAAATGAAAAAATACAACAAAAAAAAATTTATCTAATCTTATTTTGAAAATATAAATATAATTTCTTTATTTTTTACTTAAATTGAAACTTTTATCGAATAATTCACCATTATAAAGTTGTATCTCGCATCCAGGTAGCAAACTTTTGTTCCAATATCCTTTTTTTCATTAGTTTCATCTAATCGCTCATCATAAGCAATATTCCGTAAAATAAAATAGTATATTTTTTATCAACATATAGTGATTCACGAAACTGATCAAATCGTACTATTAATAGGAATTTTTTTTGAAAATTTGTGAACGAAAATATCTATAGCAACATCACAGATATATATTTGTTTATATGTTGTGCTGATATTGAAAGGTCGTTTTCGTTGATTGTTTTGTTCGAGTCAGTTAGTCGTAGATGACTGATAGTCGTAAATTGTTGTGTAGTACATTTGACATTTTCGTGAGTCACTGTGTATACACAATATCCGTATCAATATCTTATATGTTTAGTTAAAATTTAGTAAAAAATATATATATACTCGTATAACAGTATTTGTAATAGCGTTTATTATGTTTCAGGCAAAATGTTTTTATAATCAAAACGAATGAAATATCTGGATCCCAGGAAATATTGAAACCAACTACCGTGAATGCACATATTGTTAATGAAAATAGTATGAGCATTGCGAGTAATACAAGTAAGCAAATACTTGTGCTATTTTAATGTGCTTTACAAAATCTGCAGAGCTACATTTATATTTCAGTGTTGTGTACATAACATAGATTTTTAGTATTTTTCTTACTTGCAATACTGCGAATAAGCCATTTTTTTTTCAGGTATTAAGGCAGAGTGTAAAAATGAAGGGCAACAAATGCAGCTAATGAAAATACAAAACGCTAATACTACTGTAATAAAGCAAAATACGTTATTACAAGAAAAGAAGCAGTCTGCCATTTTAACTAGAAGTAATATACAAAATAATATCACGTCACCAGTGAGTTACACTCTATAATAATATTTAAGCAAAAAATTAAATTTATTTCTTTAATTATGATCTAACGGTTATCTTTACTTTAGCCTGTTTATGTAAATTCTGGATCATTTAATCCAAATCAGACGGAAAAAAAATTACCTAAATCTTACCAGACTAAAAGTCGACAGTTGGCAAACAGCATAGTAGGCATAGTATCTCAAACTCCAGATGGAATAAACGTGGTAACTACGGTGGAAAACCGGATTCAAAATTCTAACACAACAGGTCCCAAATCTACGCTATCTGTTTGCAAGACTATCAATTCGCCAAGACAGAATGTGATTGTGAGACCTGTTATTCGTAATCCGAATATGTCGCATGTGCGACCTGTAGCAATAGTTTCTCCTGAAATCTCGAAAACACTAACGAAAGTGCAACCTCCGGATATGGAACATTTAAATGAGCAAATCAAGCAAGCCAAATTTAAACAATTACAGAAACAGCATATCGAGAAACAAAGGTTTCAACAAAATAACACACAACAACAACAACACTCTAACACTTTGCAACATGGTCAATCCCCGTTGAACAATCCTACACGTCGTTTTATAAATTCTGTGCAACAAAGAACGCAGTCGATTTCAGTTTCTCCTCAAGAAACACAGAAACCATCTATGGCAACGTCAGTCCCTTCATCAGCTGAACATAATACACATGTTACTAGTATTGAGATGGAAGTCGATTCTCCAGAATGTGTTGAGGCGAAAGAGCAAACGCAACAATCTTCGCCACGATTGGAACCCGAGAACAGCTCAAGTGAAAGCTTCGCTTACCTCCAAAAAACTATTAACGATCCAACAAATGCCATAGTTCAGCATCAAATTCAAGGAAATACGGCAAAAATGTTAGTGATGTTAACCACGGGCGAACAGAGACTAATTACGTTCGACATACCGAACGAGGACTGCACGGTACACGACCTATTGGATCAGGTACGTGCAGTCTTGGGCCAGGTATGTTTCTACAAAGTTGAAAGACTTGTAGAAAGACTATACAGGATGATTGCTACGTAGTTGGAAGAATTTGAGAATTTCAGAGAAGTTTGTCAGATATTTTTAAATATTAGGAATATCTATCTCAACATCAATGATTATTCAAGTTTAAAATTTTTCTTACACCTTCTAGGTACTCGCCGCGGCTATGTTAGATCGTGATGTCAAAGGCGAGAAAAGAGGCCTGTGCGCAAACGTATAACTGTATAGGCTTCATATCACATTTATTTTATGGCTGTTTATTAACTGTCAAGGGAAGAGAAAAGTTTTCAGAACATTTTATAAGTGCGCTAAAGCAATTTAAAGTTGTTTTTTATTCAAATATTTGAAAATGGCGTAATAATTCTCAGCGTGTCATTTCTCGCCTCTAACGTCACGATCTAACATGGTCGTGGCGAGTATCCAAGAGCTTTATGGGATAAGCTGCACAATTGCATGGGATAATTGCAATTATATGCTATTTTGATCCAGAGTTATTAACCACATAATCGTTACACAGTAATAATCGAATTTTTGTGAGATTATACATTCATATATTACATAAAATATTTTTAGGTGAATATTTCATTCCCTGGTGAAACACAAGTCTCTTTGGTGGATGATCCCGCATTGGGGATAAACTACATAGTGGAGGCTGGTGTGATGCATACGTCATCCTTGGATGGTAGTGATGGTGACTGTAATTCTACTCAGGAAATTGTGAGCACTATTGCGAACGCTGAAAAGTTATCCCAAAATATCAAGTAAGATATTCTAATTTTATATTTGTTGATATTGATTTGTTTATATAATATCCAATTGTATATTACAAAAACTTCTGAAATAATATTTTCAGTACATCGGATGAAAATAGTAACACCTCTCCACAAACTCCTGAGGTAAGCTTGTTAGTTTATTATTTAAAAATTAGATTAAATAAGGATATTGGCATAAAAGTTATGTTATTCTTTTCAATTCCGTTTATATTGCAAATATACGTATAATGAAATTTTATTTTTCTAAAACTTAAATTCCTAAAATTTGGAATTAGTATTTAATTATTAGAAAATGTCATAGTTCTGAAACAGTCGATAATATCTAACATTAATACAAAAATATATGATTTATATAATTTGCAGTAATATTTTTTTTATATTATGCCAATTTCCTTAATATAATATAATAGTGATAATAGGTATTACCATAACGTATATATGTTTGATTGATATTTGTATGAATGATATAATAGATATATCATATAAAAAATAACGGAATGTAAGAATGAAATGAAGTAAACAGTATACAACATAGTTAATGATAATCTATATGCAAGTGTGATAACGTTACGTTGATGCAATCGATAAGAATTCCGTAACAAATTAAGGGAGTACACTTAAAGTTCATCATTCAAAATAAATGATATGCTAAAAGTACGAAGTATACCGTGTTATTACTAGGAACCTATTTTGGTCAAAGGAATGCTTGCTCTCTGTCCACACTGCGGCTACAGTTCATTACACTTCAACCGATGTGAACGATGTAATACAAAATTAAAAATTGAGGAAGTCAAGTCTGTACCCATAGCAGAAAGGAAGGAGACTGGGATGTCTGTCGATGTAAGGATTATGACTGCGATGCCAGAAGACTGATATATTTATTAATACAGTGTTATAAGGATCAACCTGTTACAATGACTCTGTTATAATAATCGATTGTCTGACTGATGAATGACTAACAAATTTAGTTTTCTTAAGATTAAGAATCTAGTTTAAGAGGACTATATTAACATAGCATTTTTTAATATATAGTAAGTTTAGAGCGCTATTTCAGCACATGGTTATTAAGGGGGGAACCTGAATTAGAACGCTAAAAAAAACCATAATTTTTGCAATTTTTTTCTCGGCTCCAATAAAACGAATCTTTTCGAAATTTTTGGGGTGTTTTATCACACATTTTGACATTAACAAAAAAAATTTTTTATACAAAAATATTGATTTTTAGTATTAAATGTTCAGCAATATCTACAACCACGTTTTTCGAGTTCTCGTACAAGATAGAGAAGAATCTATTTGACTAATCGACTTGATCCAAGATTTTTTAGTTACATAATTGCATTCTCTTCTATGTGAACCTAAAAATATTTTTTAATATCGAAAATTAAACTAATTGTGACTTTGAAAAAAAAGTTACGATTTTCGCCAAAAATTTTCAACTTAATTGTTTTAAAAAAATTTATTAAATTTAATTTTTTTATAAATCTCTTAGGTTTACATAGAAGAGAATGCAATTATGTAACTAAAAAATTTTGGATCAAGTCGATTAGTCAAATATATTTTTCTCTATCTTGTACGAGAATTCGAAAAACGTGGTTGTAGATATTGCTGAACATTTAATACTAAAAATCAATATTTTTCTATAAAAACTTTTTTTGTTAATGTCGAAATGTGTCATAAAACACCCCAAAAGTTTCGAAAAAATTTGTTTTATTGAAACCGAGAAAAAAAATTGCAAAAATTATGCTTTTTTTAGCCTTTTAATTCAGGTTCCCCCCTTAAGAAGTATTTTATTTAGAGAAGATTTTAAACAAGAATTAGTTCTAAAATTAATACATTTTATATCATTGCCATATTATTACAGGTCATATTGAAAGCAGTTTACTACGCTCATCTTAATGTATCATAATATTTCTATCTGCAATTTTTTTTGTCATCATTTTCTGTGTTAATTTGTAGATATATTACGATTGTATATCTTTATAGATGTTCTATAAGAAGAACAACAGCGAACGAAATGTTGTAAAATTGGAGAAAATAGAACGAGACGGTCCTACATGCAAGCGGCCCAGAGGAAAGGGTAAGAGTGCAGCTTCAAAACCAAAGCCTATTCACAAAGAACCAGGTATGTTTAGTAACATATTTTGTGCATGAAACATGTGTGTATGTATAACATGTATATTAATGATTATTTTATAAATTACTAGAATGTTTGACAATATCGTCTGACGAAGAGGAAGAAGGCAAAACTAAAAAAATTGGAAGCACTAATAGCAATGCAGTAGTAGGTAATGCAACTGACTCTTTTACTGAAGATGTGAATACAATTTTGGATAAAGAACCAATAATTACGAACGCTAGTCCATGTGACGAGTTTACGATGGATAATGAAGAAAATAGTAAAGGTGATATTTTATAAGAAACATAAGTCAATCGTCAATTAACATGTTGGCTGCTATACTAATATAATAATGAGATAATATTGGATTTAGGAATATGTGAAAATCACAAATTTTTAGATATTGGGCAACTACCACAAACTGCTCTAGAGTGTCGGACGGTCAGAATAGGTTCTTATAAATATATTCCTCGGGAAAAAGTAGTGATTTCCCATACTGGTGTAAGATTTAGCGTACCTTTGTTAGAAGATGGTAGGTTGATTTTACCTATGACATATATATCTACAGATAAACAAATTTACAAACTTTGTAAATATTTTACAGATACAAGTTTTGTTACTTTGGATGTCAAATATAGAGATATAATTAAGCTTTTAATTCATTTTGGAAAGACAATGCCAGTACTATTCTTTTATACATCTATAAGTACAGGAACTATGATACGTGAATTATTAGGAATGCAAGATCCAAAGGGGCCATATTACGACCCTGCTGGAAAAGGTGTTTATATGACATATACAAACATTCTATATTTTATATAGTTTTTGTAGTTTTTTTTGTTTTGTAGTTCTGTAATTTAATGATTATTTTAAAAAGTGTTATTTAATCTCAACAATTTTTTATACAAATATGTATATGTGTAAGACTCGTAAAGATTCTTAAAAGATCCGGGTGATTAATACTGTATGATGTATTATTTTCTAGATCACACGCATAAACGTATTACGTTATTACCAGATAAGTTACCGGATGATTCAAAGGCAATACTAACAAGTTTATTCTCACGGGGAGATAAAATAGGCGAATTGAATCCTAAGGAAGCAAACGATATACTTATACGAGCATCACCAAGGGATGTACGTATTTGACTTAATTATATTTTATTTTATTATACATATAATAACGCATAACGTATATATTTTTTTATATATTTATGTTTTTACAGTGTCTACAATCGGTTATTACTACACGGAAGATGAGTCAAAACTCAGCAAACACCACCGGTATCAATGATGACATTCAAACGTGAGAATCTTATTTAATAATTGTCTTTTGTTTAATAGATTAATATTACTTGGTATATTAGATAAAATATATTTTATAATCTTATCTATTTCACCTAGTGTTACTTGATTTTTTCGCGTATAGTTATAAGTTTATAAATATTGTTTAATTGTTTTTATACAAAAACTATTTTTTTTTATAGAATAACTGTATATCCGCCACCTCCTGCAAAAGGAGGAATAGCCATTAACACTGAAGATTATATGTGTCTCGCAGAAGATCAGTTTTTGAACGATGTGATTATAGACTTTTATTTGAAGTATTTGACGTTAGAGGTATTATCAGAATCTGATCAACATAGAACTCACGTGTTCAGTTCGTATTTTTACAAACGTTTAACTAGCCCACATGCTCAAGCTGCTGAAAGCGCCGTGCCAATGACACCAGCCGCCAAGCGGCATGCGAGAGTACAGAAGTGGACGAAGAATGTCAATATATTTGAGAAAGATTTTATTATAATTCCTATAAACGAACAGTAAGTAATCTTGCAAATTTTAATATAAAATTAATACAAGGTCTAAAATGCGGTAAGCTTCTTTGTATGGTATTCTAATATTCAAGTCTACGCGAGACTTGAGGATTTTAAAAATTATAGAATCGGGACATTAGATAAAGAAATCAATTGCATATACGAGAAATTCAATTACATATAGGCGAGAAAAAAGAAAAAAAGACATTTGAAGTTTTATGCTCAAAACATAGACGCTCACATCCGTGCCTTAGGCTCATATTGAAATTTACCTCATTAAATTTATAATATATAATAAATAAGTCGATCAATTTTATTTATTTTATTTTCAATAATTCTATTGACTTTTGGTAATATAAACAAAGATCATTTTACATAATAATATAATTTGTTTATAGCGCACATTGGTTCTTGGCTATTATTTGCTTTCCTGGATTAGTCGGAAAAGTCTCCACCTGTGCTACGAAACCCAACGACGCTCATAAGACTGTGCAAAAGAGCAAAAAAATAAAAGAGTTAAAAACAAAAACTGTCACAATTGGGTCTACAACAATCACTCCTGTAACAACGACCATAACGATAGACCAACTAGATGATGGATCTGAGAGAGACGAAGCAGAAGGCGACGATGATGAGATGGAAGTCGACAGCGACGAAGACGTAGAATAAATTTTATTGTTGATAATTTTTTTTTTTTTCTAAAACAGTTGATTATATGCAACATATTTTACTTATAGGACGAGACTGAGCAACCGGAAGAAAATAAAACCCAGATCAACATTAAAGTTGAAGTTAAGGAAGAACCAACGGAAATTGTCAAGCTGTAAGTAGCATGTCTATATCATGTACTTGATGTAATTGATGTATATTGTGGTTTTAATATTTAAATAATTTAATTTATAGTCCCTGCATATTGATATTCGATTCACTTGCTGGCGCTAGTAGAGCACGGGTAGTTGCTACGTTAAGAGATTATTTAAGTTGTGAACATGTTGCCAAACTTGGTGTAGAAAAGACATTCTCGAAAGATACTATTAAGGGAGCATGTCCGAAAGTACCCCAGCAATCAAATTTTACTGATTGCGGATTGTATGTATTGCAGTATGTGGAACATTTTTTCAAGGCAAGTATATTAAAATACCTTTATTTTTTATATTATTGTGTTACTTTTTATACGTATAATTACATAAATTATTAATGTAATTATGAGCTTTTTTCCTTTTTTTAGGATCCTATTAAAGATTATACTTTGCCAATTAAAACCTTGAAAACCTGGTTCGAGGAAATTGTCGTAACGAGAAAAAGAGAGGAGTTATCGAATTTGCTAATTAAATTGATGAATAACACCAAAGGGGATAAAACTATTAACTTGCCTACTGTAATTTTCCCCACGCAAGATGGCAAGCTGAAACCGAAGGTCGAAAATCAGACAGACGCAAAGACTGCGAAGTCGGAACCTGAAAGTAAAAGAAAGTCTACAAGTGAAGCAGAAACACGAATTGTCTCGTTTGTGACAGAAAATACTGAGTCACCTAACGAATTTGTTGGTAAAACTTATCAGATCATTCCTTATTCTCTGACTTCTAATTCGAGTAATGAGAGTAATCCAACGGAAGTGTTGACGGAACAGAAAAATACAAGGTATGCACAATACATGTACCTTTTATAGTGTTATAATTGTTCTCAGTATTACTAAAATACGATCATACACAGCTATATAAATTTTTCCTAACTTGACTTTTTTCATTGCAATTCCCTATTAATGGAATCCCCATAAATCTGAACTTTCTCGAGAAATGTTTTTCGAAAATGCATTCCATATAAAAATGTGATACAACTCTCTAAAAACTACATGGAATTTATTAGACATTTTCTTGTATAATTAACACGTATAACCGCATTAATTTATCGATCATTTTTATCAATTTTTAGGTCATCAACCGAAACAATGTCCTACTTGAAAGCTAAACGAATTCCTAGGCTAGTATCAAGAACGCAGAATCAAGATGACTCTCATATCACTGCTAAAAAACACAAAGGGGAGTCCTCCAATTCTTGTAAATAAATGTTTCTTTTTTTACAGTGATAAGATTAGTGTTAGTCCACATTCTCAAAATACATGAAATCATTTATTTCAATCTATATAAAATAATGTAGTTAATTCATGAAGCGAATAAAACTGCAGATATGATTTCTGATTGTATGCGTGGAGTCCCTTTATGATTGACCTTGATATGTGTTTTATTTCATGTCATTGAAATAGATCTATAACAGATTTTTTGTATAGATTGTTTAAAGTGAAAGTTTTGACAGTATCAGATATACATTCTGCAGCATCCACGACGTCATTGGTGCATTGCGCCACTCGGTTCTTTACGAGAATCTTTATCGATCGTATACTGACGAAAATATGAAAATGTAGTTCCAAATTTTGCTTTACTGAAATATAATTTAATTTTTTCTGAATTTTTTTTTAGCCAGTTTTAAAGATATTCTTTACATAGTATCAATAGCAATTCTGTTGCTTTATAATACTATGCTTCGTGACAATCTCGGCGAGTTATTTAAAGCCTCGCGACATATTCGCGTAGATATATTTGGCACTCCCTAGTTTTAAATAACCGCTGCGTGAAGCCCTACTCGATGCAAATGTATCGTGCGCACAGTATTTATGAAAATCGAGGTAACAAAAGTTGAAATAACAACCAGTGTGATTTGGTGATTATCCCGTAAGTTTTTACCGTATCTCTCGATTAGACTAGGCAAATTCGTAGAATTAGTAAATCAATTACATAATGAATTTTTAGTTTCGTGTCTTATCATTGAATACACATCACATTGAATACGTTATCACACGGTAAAATATTCAATAATCTTGTTGATAAAATAAGCGTATCCGTTAATTTATATCCGTTAATTTCTAAATTGATGATCTGTTGTAAAATTGTATTAATTATATAACGCTGTGTTGGATGGTATAAAGATAAACGGTAGATCTCTCTAGCACGCGGAGTTACATCGGATGTGCTTTATTACGCTCATACGTTTTTATTATGCTGATGCCGCACTTGTTTAAATGGCACGTATCTTAATAGGATAATGCCTGGATCAATAGACTTGATAGTGTCTACAGCGTACATCGGAGTCACGATTTGGATAGCGTATTGGCTGAGGCTCTATACGCTATTTTATCTTGATTCTTATCCTCTCACGAGAACTTTGGTCCTCGAATTCATAGCTACGGCAGAACTTTGCGGGGCATGTTTTGAGCTCATTATAAGTAAGTCTGCTCTCTGTTTTATAAATCAACATGCGATTTTTGATAAACGATGACTACGGATTTACCCATTATTTATATTATAATTATATTTATACGTTGCGTATTATATATTAGCGTTATATTTTTTCAATGTATGTACCATTATAAGCTATCAATTAAATTTTTTTGTATTATTTTGTGTCATTCTTATTATACACGTTACAACAACAATTTGCCTTTATTCTTCCTTGTTTTTCCCAAGAAAGAAATGTAAACTTCTCTCTACAGTTGCGGACAATTGGGGAGTGTGGATGTATGCGCTTTATTTGTTTCTATTAACAATCTGGTGGTCGATAAACTGGGATGAAGCTTCGGCGTGCCCTTATACACACATGGAGGATGTAGTAATACATAAGAAACCCCTGACCGTCGCGTTTCTGTTGATATGCGCGGAATTGGCTGGCGGTCTCATTATATTCAAGTACATCCAAATATTGTGGGCGTTCCAATTCGCTTCTACGCACAAGAACAGGGCATACGGCGATTGCACTACAGATCTGCAGGCAAGGACAAATCACCTCTGATTTCACGAACAGAATTCAGTTCGCGTTAATATATAAAATTATTAATTAATTACTAATTAAAATTATTAATAATATTAAAAAATTAAAAAATATTAATTAATTATTAATTAAAATTATTAATAATATTTAAAAATAATTAATTAATATTACTTAGATATAATTAATATTACTTTTTAAACATTATTTTATTATTCATCCGGTATATCACGTGATATGCAATACGTGCCCATTGACCGTTTTCAACACCGTGTGAAATAATTTTATTATTGAATAAATTTAACAAATTGTGTGCGACGATTTTTCAGGTGTCCGCTATAACTGGAGCGCTTGTGGAATGCGTTGCAACATGCATGTGTAGGGTGGTATCCCGCGTGCTAGGTGACTTGAACCCGAGGTTCAGCACGATCATCGATGCCTTCGTGGGGACTTTTTTGGTGGTTGCAGGTCAGCGAACATTTTTATATTCTCTTTTGTGACGTAAAGAAATGTCTGTATTGTTGATTCTTGATGTACATACAATGTATTTCAGCTTTCAATTACACCGGTGGTTACTTCAATCCCGCACTGGCGACTTCTTTAAAATACGGCTGTCTGGGAACCTCATCTCTGGAGCACGTGATAGTTTACTGGATTGGAGCGTGTATCGGGTCTATCGCTTCCTTACGTGTGTACCGTATGCCGTTTGTACAAAATTTCGTTCAACTACAGGAAAGTACAGATGCTGTGTATTCTTAGATAAAATTCAGTAGAATTTCAAGAGAATTTAAATGTTTGTGATTTTAATCGTCAATATTTAACTACTTCTTAATACGTACAAAAAAAGTCTAACAACGTACAAAATTTCGTGCCAAACGATAGTTTTATACATTCCGATTGTCGTATAAATAATTATAGAGCTGTGTGCAGTTCTAATTACACTTCGGAGATAAAATATGGTCTAAAATTGTTGAGCTATGTTAATAAATATTTTAAAAATATAATAATCGATATTAAAAATTATTTTATCGATATATATTATTTCTACGCTTTTATCATCATGCCATTCCCTTATAAAGGAGTTCAATTATGATATAGAATCCATAACAAGGTATTTTAACAAGATATTTCTTTGGAACGCCATTCCTTTATTTATCCATATATTTCTTAATACATAAATATTTATCAATGATTAGTAACGATAGATATACGATGAATTACACACATAGCTAAAAATAATTTGCTGTAGTAATAATAGTATAAAAAGATATATCATTATGAAAAATAGAAAAATAAATATATGTATTACACAAAATATAAAACAACAAACATCAAACGATAAGTATGATGATATAGAAATTAAGAGAAAACTATATATAGAATTCCGCCTTGGATGATAAGTCGTACTCAATCGCTTCGTTCTCGTATATTTCAATACTCTGCAACATGATCAAACAAATACGCATTATTTCGCAAAATTACATTAATTTCATAGGCGAAAGTTACACGATTGCTTGCTTCTTTATAATTCATTTTATTTATAATACATTTTCTCTGTTTGCGAGTATCGGACAACAAAACGTTTAATGACGATCGAAACTTTTTTCTTTATTCAAGAAAAGGAAAAATTTAAGGCGTATTTATGAAAACTTAATTTTTGAAATGAAATTTTTGCTCTAAAAAGAATTATGACTATGAAAGGAATTGAATGTTTTCATCTTCCAAGTTTCGCAAACTTACTTGAGTCATGAAAAGTTCGGTATATCTTTTTCTACAAAAGGACCGAATATATCCAGGGACGAATGGCTTTCAAACTTACTGTATTGATGTCTTTGTCCAGGTCCTCCACTTGTTTTCCGTGCGTAACCTTCAGTTTCTCTTTTTCACGGCCCTGCTTGATTTCTATAGTCTTCCTCTCGTCGACAAATTTTTTCGTATTCTGTTGCTTCTTTTCGCGAAGCCTTCTGTCCTTCTCACCCTTCGTTCTCAAAGTCTTGTCGTTCATTACTTCCTTCGCCGTTTCCACGGACGCTTTCGCTTGATTGGTATTTAAATCCTTTATGTCTCTACAATATTAATTAACGTATTCAAACGATGTGTGACAAAAAAAGAATCAGAACTTATGTCTATTGCGGAGATTAATCGGCGAGAAATATAGCAAAACGAATAAATGGGGTGAACCAACTTGTCATGTTTCGCCTGCATCTGTTTAACTTGCGTGGCTTGCACGACCTCGATCAGTCTCTTTAACTCGTCGCGAGAGCTCTGCGTTTGATTCTTCAGTAATTCCCATTCTTCCTTCCTCTGCTTCTCCATCATGGCGGACCATTGGGCCGTTTGTTCGCTTATAACTTTTTTCACATTTGCGTCCTGCGCCAGTGCATTTTTGCTGTGAAAATATCATTAAATATTAAATATATCGTAAATTTCTCAAATCTCTCTTTGCGCAATAGAATTACTGAATTATTGTAAATTCCAACGCACTCTTTTCCTCTGGTTAACTTCTCGATGGCACTACAATGATTCTTCTGCATAGTTTGTCTTTCTTTAGCATGTTTCTTCCTCATGGTATCCAACTCTTTCTGGTGCTTTTTGCCCATTTTGAAACCTTTCTCTTTTTTCAACGATTCTAACGTAATAGGTTCCAGTTTTAATACCTCCGCTGAAATTGCGTAAGAATTGCATACATACCGCATATAACAAACAATATTTGGTATAATTTTCTGCTCCTCTACCATTTAATTTAATCATCATTTTTTAATATATAAAAAACACATTTTGCAGTAAATGAATTATTACCCTTCTTCGCTTCTTCTTCTTTCTTCTTCTTAGCGTCCGCCTTGGCATCCGTCTGTTCTATTCCGAGTCCCTTCATCGTCTCAGTTTGCTTCTCGGCAGCCTTGTTAAAACCACCCGGATCCGACAAGGCGGCCATAAAATCTGAAATTGGAGGCGGGCTCCGTGTGAGCGAAAGCCGCGAAGAGTGCTACTATTTTTGAGCCGCGCGGCTGAGATGCTACCTTCGAATCCATCGGGGACGTAAATCTTGAGCTCTATGTTGCAGAAGAGCATGGGCAACGCCATCGGGAAGTTCGCTTCGGTCTTCAAGGAGATATGTCTGTAGCCGGCTTGAAGCCCGTCCAAGGGTAAGATTCGCTGTCCGAGCAATTTGCCGTTCTCTTCGTACACACCTATACGCGAGATGAAACATATGATTGAAAAAAATATTCGGTGAATGGCAGCATTTGTTTATTTCAAATTTATATCGCGATGAATATATCCTTAGGTATATATTATGAAGAAGAGACGTCATTACCAAATCTGAGCACCGCCAAATCGGGAAGCACGACCTTCCGGAACAAGAACGGCTCCTCGTTGTAGACCGGATTCAGACCGTTTGACGGTACCATTCGTGTCCTGAATTCCTTCTTAATCGTGTCTGCCGGTAGACCGTACATATCCACCTCCACGTACGTGCCCACCTTCTTGTCCGACAAGAACTGCCCGGCAATGATCTGTACCGCGCACTGCGCGGTGATGATGCCGTCGACGTCCTCGGAAAAAGGATCGAAGCTTCGATCGGGCCTCCGCATGAAGTCGGGTTTCAGCAAGTAACCCGTCGTACCGTTGTACTCGAATTTCCCTTGATTGAGCTGCATCGGCAGATCGGGAGTTTGGAAGTTTAAAGCCACCATCTGGCAACCGGCGTTCCAGAAGACCTAAATAAAGACGAGCATCTCGTATAAAACGAGTATACGCGAAACCAAGAAAGTCCTTTATTTTTCTCAAAATAATGTCTGACGAAAGAACGTGCGACTTCCTGCAATGCAGTCCATATATACCATTACGCAATAGGGATATATACGTGACTAATAGCTCTGCGGAGAATCTAAGCGCGTTTGTATATATATTGTTGCAGTTACCTGGGGCATGTAATTCGACGAATCAGCCCTCGTGCCCTTTGGATATATTCGACTCATTTGCCGCTTGTTGTAATTAACGAACTCCACGGAGTGAGTTTTCAGATAGTTAAGAGCGGCAGTCTCGGAGAACGAAGACATATTATGATGTATATTCTTGCCTGCAACGTCGGGGTCGAGACATTAGTACATGTCGCGCGCGCGACACGCGCGCACGTGTACGCTCATTCATTTAACCCTCCTTAAGTCTTCGGGACGTATGCACTACCACATACACACCCGTTACCCCTCGGTAAATTTAAGGTACATTATTATACGAAAAACTCTTCGCGAGAGAGAAAGAGTACTATTAAATTTCACGCGCTTACAGATTCACAACAACATTTTTGCGTAATTTTACAACTAAAAGGTTCCTAAAAAAATTAATACACGGACACAAATTTTAATACCTACTTAAACTGATGATTATCTATATCTTATATTTAAATATACTACTATATATTTTTTTGAAAAAAGGAAGGAAGGAGAAAGTAAATTGATTGATTTAATAATTTACATATTGCAATAAAAATCACGGAAAATCTAAAAAAATGTATTGTTATAAAGATAAAAATTACAAACTAAATTATTTTTACTACTTTGGTAGTTTTAATATTAAAATACAACGCACTTTAAAATAATTGAAGAACAAGATGTAAGATAAATATAAAAAGAGATGAAGGGAAAAAATAAATTAATCAATTTGATCATTTAAATATTATAACAAAAGTCACGGAGAAATTTCAGAAAATGTACCGTATATTTTGATAAAAAATTGAAATTTAGATATTTTTCAAACTGCTTTGGTATAGTTTTAGTGTTTAAAATAATTTTTATAAAGTTTTCTTAAAGTTTTCACATAAAATCGTGCGTCATTATCCTAATATACTCAATTACAGATAAGTATGATATTTCGTTAAATATACTACATACTCTCTGCAGCTTCGAAACTCTGGAACTTTATTGGCTGCGCGTAGTTTATCATTGCCGAGAGATAAGGATGGACCCGCATTGTACTACCCGTGTATTGAACCGCTTGTACCTCTTCAGTTCCTTCGCCTGCAGCAGGAGCTTCGCCTTCCTGCACAACCGTAAACGTATCGAAGATGGAACGCCAAAAATTTTAATTTTTCAGAAAGAAGAAGAGTGAAAGAGGGAGAGCAAAATTCAACTTCCGCCTTGTTAAAGATTCATTAATGTGGTTAATCACCTTTGGCGGCTCTGGCTCTGGAGGTGGAGCAACTGCAGGGGCACTGGCATCCTCTACCACTTCATCCTTATCTTCGAACTGTCCGGCGCGGAAGAGCTCGAGCTCGGCCTTTTCCACTTCCGGCTTCAATCGTTTGTTTTTTATCAATATCTTGCGTTTCAGCGCGCTCGGCGGAGGAAGAAGGCACCCAGGCTCGAGCTGGAAATAATGTCGTACAGTACACATTGTCGCATGTACTCGTGTGATTAATTTTAATTCACTGGATCGCGGTCATTAAACATGACGTCTCTCACTCACAGGATAATCTTTCAAGGGCTCCTTCAGCAACAGGTCGCCAAATATTTCGTCGCAGTATTTCGCCAGTTTATATTGCTGCTTCATGCAGCAGTGATTCTCGAAACTCAGAATTATGGGATATTCGGAAGTAACGAACGCGGTGTCTCTTATAGCGTAGATCACATCCTTGAAAAGGATGTCGGTGCACATAGCTTTGCCGTGAGTTATGATAGGCTCCTCATCTTCGCCCTTTCCATCCCAACAGTCCAGCTCGACGCACCTACAGTCGCGATAGTTCTTCTTTAATTTTCTCTTCGGAATTATTTTGAAATATTTCTCCGTCGATACGTTTTTATATGTCGTCGTTACAACAACTGAAAGATCACCTGCAACCAGCAAGCAGAACCTGTCGATACATTTCAACGGTGCTCTTGCCACCGATCTGACGTCCGCTGAGATAAGTATTGTGACTCGAATTGATATAATAATGAGCGAGCGGCTGGTCCATGTCCATCCATTCTTCCAATTTGTCTAAGAACACCGGCGCGTTCTCATCCGACATTAAGTATCGTATAAAACCATCCTTCGTCAGCTTCTCTGAGGGTAATAAAACATCGAAACGTTATTTTGGGCGTAAAAAACGGATAATGACAAAAGAGAATTTAACTTTGCGGGAACTCACTTTCCGCTTTCGCTTTCTCGTCCGTCTCGTAGTCATTTATGATTTCTGTACATCTCTTTTCCGTGTAAAGCGGATATAATATCTCGTTGAGTCGCGGATCCCTTTGCTTCGTGTTCATAAATTCCACCAATTGCAGCAAACTTATGGTATCAGTTTTCCCCTTCGTGCTGTATAACGTGGAAAACAATGATACCTCCTTCGTGTAAAATTATTTTTCACAACACCTCCACGGAAAGTTCGACTTTCCATGCCTGTAGAGAGGGGCGAAAGTGACCAATTTCACGCCAGGACGGCATTAGCGTGACGAAAGTAACCACTTTCCTCCTTAGGGCGGAAAGTGATCACTTTCGTCCCGTTAAACAGGGACGAAAATGGCCACTTTCCGCCCTAGGGACGAAAGTGGCCATTTTCGTCCCGCTATGCCGCCCTGGCGTGAAATGGCCACTCTCGCCTCTCTCTAGGCATGGAGGTCGAACTTTCCGTAAAGATATTGTGAAAAATATCGTGTGCACCTCTGGGCGAAAGCTTTTTCAGACTCGTGTGATTTGCCGCCCGAGCCGAAGGCGAGGGCGGCAAATCACACGAGTCTGAAAAACGCTACTTTCGCCCCTTGGTGCACAATATACTAATGCAACGCGCGGGTTAATACTTACATGGATTGAAAAAGTTCCTCGATATCATTCCTAGGACATATCTTAAAGTACAAGCTATAAAACTTGTCGAACGTGAAGGCCTCTGGTTCTATTTTGTCATTCTAAAACGTGAAAAATAGCCATATGTAAAATATAATAACGCGCGCGCATTAATATATATTTTATTAATATCGATATTAAGATTGAATAAATATTAGTTCTCACTTATAATTAACATCAACATTAACATATTAAATATTAAGTAATATTTGGCATATATTACCTTAATTGTTCGACGACGTGACAATGTTTCGGTTGCAAATGATTTTTAAACATAAAAATCGTAAAAATGTTATATTACCTCGTATATACCTATACGAAGTTATTATTTTATTATTATTTATATACAATACGTAATGTATTTATGTTTTTAAATATTCTTATTTGGCGTATAGTATTACTTAATATTAAATATCATTAATATTAATATTAAGCAATATTATATGCCAAATAAGAATATTTAAAAACATAAATACATTACGTATTGTATATGAAATAGTAATAAAATAATAACTTCGTATATATACGAGGTAATGTAAGATTTTCACGATTAAATTTATGTTCAAAAATCATTTGCAAGCGAAACATTGTCACGTCGTCGAACAATTAAGGTATTATTTCTCTATTTCAATTGAAATTGGAAAACTACTTGCAGCGATGACAATTTTGAAATTTCCCTGAACGAACTTTAAGTAAACTTTATTGATCCCGTTCAAATGTTAATTAAGGTCTTTTGAAAATGCCCGTACTTATTGACTCACCTTTCCACTAGGCAGACCTAGCTCCGATAATCCTTGATAAACGAGTTTCTCGGTCTTTCCAGATGCAAAAGTCTTTGATATCACTTTCACGGGTACCTTTCCCTTCGGATCGACTTGGAAACTTAGCCGCATCCAACTAGCAGATCCGAGCAACGATCAGTCAAGTTTTATATAATGGATCAAAATAAACAGCATTAGCGTTCGTACAAATATTTATTTGCAATTTTTGCGCAGCCGCAGTTGGATTCAAGTTAATGAATACGTACTGCTTCATAAGCTGTATCGTTGGACAAACGTTACTTGCTTTCGTGTTGTGCGTAATTAAACGCAAACCAGCCTGCCAATCCTGAATTGATTAACCACAGATTGGCATTAACATGAAGAGAAGTTGAATCAGAAGATAATTGAGGGTATCAATTGCATTAACAATAAAGTAACATATATATAAAATAAATGTAAACGCAAACGTATATCTAAAACAAAAGGTAAAAGGGTAAATTAAATGTTAAATCGCGAGTAATGTAATTCTGCACATTAGCGGCCAATGTTCAGTTGTGCTCCCACGAGTAATTTAATAACGTTAAAAATAAAATAATTGTTGAATTAAATTTTAAAAATGATTTTAGCAATATCCATAGATATTCTAAAGTTTGAATTTATGTATATAGAGTTTTAATCTATTCACAACTTTCCGATTATTACCTTGGCTGTTTGTGCATCCGGGCATACAACATGCTGATAAGTAATGTTCGTATAATCCACCCCGGAGCATATAGTTAAACTTTTTTGATCCAATTGCTCCAAAGTTCCGTGTTTACTTAATTTATTGCATAACTTTGGATCCTAGACCGATCGTCGATATAAAACAAATTATTATTACTATAATATTTTCATTTTGAATCTTTCTTTACGCTAGATTTACCTTTGGCGTGCCCCCATAACGAATATCGCTCACTTGAGCCAATTCTATGACATCACCATCCTATAAAATAATAAGCCATAAGTTATTTACAATATTTACATTGTTTGTTGAAAAATAATAACCGGACGATTTAGCTGTTTAAAAGTGAAGCTACGAGGATTCTACAGTAAAGTTATATACCTTGCCGTCGCTTTTCCAGTATACGAAGAAGCCGTACTCGTCGACTTTGAATAGGCAATTCGGCTCGTATTCAGTCGTCTCTTTGTCTTCGAACCATCGATCGAACACCGAGCCATTTCTCAAGAGCTCCGGCACTTCGATGCGCCAATTAAATTCGAACTTCTTTGTCATGGTTCGGCAACTTTAAGCGGAACGACGTTAAGGTAAACTTCGATGTGAACTTAAGCTTGCCCGATGCTCAAATGAGAGAGTGCCATCGCGGGGGACTTGTGTCCCAGGGCATAATGCAATTAGTTATATCTAATTTGCTGTATGAGGATTCAATACGATGGAAACCCGCTGCGTAACAGAGATTCTAAACTTACATAAGCGCGAGTATGGCGAAACCTTCTGTAAGAGGTACTCTGTTATATATTATAGTAACTTAATAACCATAACTCTGTTATACAGTTACAATACTCTGTTATATAGTTACTTAATAGTCAAATATAATGCGCGAATCATTGTTACGAGAAAAGAGCGATTGTGATAGCTGCGCGATTTCGTTTTAACGTTTTCGAGGCTAAAATGCTATTGAAGGAATTAAGGGAGCAATATGGAAAGCCGGATAACGTTGACAGAAATACACATTTTTGGATGATATATAATAATATTATGCAACACGTGCATGGAAAGTGCCCCATTACGCACGCTACGCGTGCGTGATAGACCACTTTCCAGGCACTTGCAATATAAAATAGGGAGTGTAAGCCGTGTGTAAAGATGACAATTCCCGGGTGCGTAAACTCCGCACCCAAGAATTTTCATCTTACCTCACTTGTTACACAAATAACTATATAATAATTTATTAAAATTATGATATAACAATGTTATACACATTATATTGCGTATCGACTGCGATATACAGAAATATATTCCTATTACGTCGATTCAGTGCTTGTCTATAGCCTATCACATAACGATGGCGTAAAGAGTAACAGTTTACAAGAAGATATACTTTTATCCTAATGACTTTTTCGCAAGTGATCACCGTCTTTGTAACAAGGCTATAAATAATGGAATGTTGACTGCCGCGACGGCTGTCGATTACGATGACCGACGATAAAAGTAGCGAGCGAACGTGTCTTGTTAAATAATAATTATTCCTCAAAGTGACTTCATATTTCGTGGATTAAGTGTAACCGTAAAAAGCTGATCGTTTCTGCGAGTCCACGTTATCACATCTGAGGCTTCAGCAGGTAGTGCGAATTCAGTTGTATGGAAGTATCCACGTCTGTTTGCGGCTCCTTGAGCATGTCCTCTGGCAGATTGTGCATGGCCTCCACGCAGTATTCCTGTCCGCAAACTTTGCACGCCTCGAAGTGCGGTTTGATGGAATTTTTGAGTCTCTGGGGATAAAAGTTCCTATATAGAAATATTCCTTTCTTTCTATGTATAATACTTTTTTAGCAATTTAGCAACAATTTGTTATTCGTACAAACATCAGAGATCTCTTCGTTTGTGATGTGAGATGGTCGTAATGTTAAAAGAAAATGCTCAAGTGGCAAATGAGAAATTTTCAAAGTAATAAATATTAACTTTTTTTTCCCTTCTTCTTCATAGTAAGATAGGTACTAGAACTACCAACGATTAATATATTTACTTTTTTATACTGTTTAAATATATTATAAATATTATACATATATTTAAAAGAAGATAAAGGGAGAAAATTAATCAATTTAATCATATATACATATATTGCAACAAAAATTATACGAAAAATCTCAGAAAATGCACATTAATAAAAAATTACAGACCAGTCATTTTGACTGTTTTTAATAGTTCTAGAGTTAAATTCTTTGCTAAATTGATTGGTTCCAATTCAACAGTGTCAATAAAACTCGGCATACTTCGGCAAACGTGGCACCATCCGCTCTAACGAATACGTAAACGGCAAAAGCGGGAATGCAAATTAAGGAGAGAGACGCGATGCCCCATCCGATCGCTTCTGCCCACCATGGATACGTATAATCACCGTTGTGGTAGGTCGGTGGCTCATAATCAATTAAGCTGAACACCCATACAGCCTGAGAAGATAAGGCAATTATGAAAATGCGGATGTGTGTATCGTAAAGATCGCCAACTGCATCAGGAAACGCAACGAACCAGGATTATAAAAGCGAGCAATCGCATCCGTGCAATTGTCATCATCAGATAAAAACGATATACCTTGTATTTTTCTGAGAACAATAATTGCGCGAGTAATTGGCAGCTTGTAATTCCTATCGAGAATGTTTTTTTCGCTTGATTTGCAGCCAGCAATTTTCATTCGTTGCGCTTATTATTCATTGTCAGATATGATAGATTCAACGCGGTATGAAAATTTTAATATCCTGAAACTTTCATTAATATCGCTGTGTACCATTATGAGAAGAGGCGCGGCGAGGAACCAGCAGAACCGGAAGTACATCGATGGCAAGCGTCCGGTCATCTCCTTGACATTATTGCACAGCCGCCGCACGCCGTAGAGCCACGAGATGGCAATCACTTCGAAGAACGCCAGGAACATGATGGACATCGAAGCGGCGTAATGATCTATTAGTTGGAAGAAATAAATACCGCCCTGAGGGCAGTCGAGAAATCATTTAGTAAAGGATGAGTGTGTTAGTTTTTTTTTTATCACGCGAAGTAAACACCGACTCTCGAGTTTGCCGTTCTTATATTATACCTGCGTAATATTCGGCAGTCCAAATAAGAACGAAACGACGCATATGAGGAGGACCAGCACTTCGTGGCAGAGAAGATGACGGTTCACCCAATTCGGGAAACCGTCTTGGATCGACGTAACGACCACTTCAACAACGGCAAACTGAAATCCCGAGATTTACATAATACCGTTAAAACATTGCAAAAGCAAACTATTAACGATCTTCGAAATAGAAAGCTTGTTAAAATACGATTTGCATCCATTAAGATTGAGTAATGTGATTCTGGTATTTAATTTTTCATTTAATGACTAACGCTGCTTGTATATCTCTATAAATATTTCGCGGGACGATACAATTCGATCACGTAATTGCGTCTGTTTATGGATTAGTCCGTAATCGCATTGCACGTGTACACATCGCGTTGCGATAGGAAATAAGGCCTTATGCCTTATCTGTCATATACACTTACTTGACTGTTCAACGAAAGGCAGACCAGCATAAAGAAAAAGAGCACAGCCCAGAGTTGAGAAGCTGGCATCTTGGCTAGCGCTTGCGGATAGATGACGAAGACTAGACCAGGTCCTTGAACGGAAATTATGATTTATCTATAAAATGTCAGGGGGGAGTTAATCCGATGATGTAAAACAGCGGGGGGGGGGGGGGAGAAAATAGAAAGAACAGGTGCAACGGTCTCGTGGATTCTATTACGCGTCTTTTACACCCTTTCTCTCCATAACGTGCGTGGCACACTTATGATATATTGATACTTACATAATTTATCATATTTAACGTGACGTAAACATCATTTCTAATTCTATACGTACCGTCGGTTAGGACATCTTCGACGGACATGTTTTGCTCTAGCGCTATATTGCCGATCGTGGCGAACGAGAATATTCCAACCAGTAGACTACTGAAGGCGTTTATGAGCGAAACGGCGACGGTATCTACGAGAATCGTGTTGTGGAATCGGTTGTAACTCGCGAAACATATCATCGAGCCGAAGGCGATCCCTACAGAATTGAAGACTTGCGCCGCAGCGTTGACCCATACCTAATTAATTAATATATCAATATAACTAACTAAAAATTCAAGGTGAAGTACTCTTTTTGTCATACAGAAAGGACATAGTTTTAATTTAAAGTTGAGATATTAATATTTTAAAGCACAATATAATGTATATTTATATTTCATTTTTCTACGTATATCTTTTACATTTTACTATTATTTACGTTTATTCTATTATTTATCATATTTCTCTTTCTTGTTAGCCGAGAGATCGATTATGTTGCGGTACCTTTGCATCGCCAAGCAATTCCCAGCGTGGATGAAAAAAGAATTGCAGACCTTTCGCGGCGCCCTCCAGAGTGAGGGATCGCGTGAGGAAGAGCACGATTAGGAGGAAAGGCAGCGTTCCTGTCAGGTATCTCACTTGCGCCGATGACTTAATGGACTTCCAGATGGAAAAATACACCATGATCCACGCAGTTATCAGGCACGCCACGAGCTCCCATCTCAAAATTCCCGGTTCTTCGATGCCGCTGCTCATTTGCAGGACCTTGTTGCTAAGTAGAGAGACAATTATTCTTTTATTCAATTTGTTCAATTTATTTAATTAATTCAATTATTCTTTTTTTTAACACTTCGATTCGAAACTGCGACACGCGATTTATAAATCATTTTACAGGCGATATGGAAACTAAATATTTTAAATCTTGTTAGAGAGATGACGTGTATAGTAGTACATAATATTACAATAACAGCTTGAATTAGTTGGTTTAGATTAAAAAAAAAAGAAATTACTCGAAGAACTCCTCGGACGGTGTTCTTGTCAGGTTCGGTCGAGTTCGATTATCGATGGATCCATAACTGGGCAGCCAGCAGCGCGGCGAGTTCCATAAGTTGTCACAACGTGACCATGGTTGCTCTGGTCGGAATGCCGAGAAGAAATAGTAAATTGCGTAGGCTATTATCACATTATGGTAGGTAGACATTAAAAACGATATTACGACTGACGATAGACCAGCTCCTACAAAGACAGAAATATACAGACGATAAAACGGCGCAATTTAAGACGTATATTTCGAGGAGGCTCGAGTTAAAATTTCAGATTTAAATCGCTCAAATTTGCACAAAGAGAAGAGAATAAAGAAGATGAAACGACAATAATTTTAATCCTATTATATTCTCGCACTTATTTGTTTCAAGTTAAGCGCACTTTATAACGCTATAAAAATGATCGCGCGAGAAGCTTTTAACAAACAGTCGTTGGGGATTTAATCGGCAATCTGTCACATCGTGGTTTATCCCATTTACCTTTCAATAAAGGACACACTTGACCTAGGGCGCCGATTGGGCCGCGACGAGTGAACTGTCCGATGCTAAGCTCCATGTACAGCAATGGTACTCCACATACTATGAGTATTAAAAAGTAAGGCACGAGGAACACACCTGAAACGATGCAATCGATGTAAGCGACGTCTCTCCGGTTTATACCGAGCGTATATAATTGTAGAGAACATCGACGGTCTTTCTCTCGAAAAGAAAAAAAGAAAAAAAAAGGAGAGAGAGATTAATCCAGTTAACAGGAAAATATGCCCCAGGTCTCGCCCAGCGTTTCGCTAAACCGAGGTTCGCGCGCGTGTACGTAATAAATGCCTCGACATTAATCATACTGTGGGTAGCGGCAAGGTCACTGGATGTGACTCTTTATTCGCAATAAACGGTGATCCGTAGCGGCGCTACGGATTACGACTTAATTTGACATCGGGCATTTAGCCGCCGCCGCCGCCGCCGCGAGGACGGGATAGGTGACGATTAGTCAGCTGTTGGCGAGTTTCCTTCAATTGTCAAACTCGCTGATACGACTCACCGAGCGCACGAATCTTACTTGCAGCGATTATTATACGTACAACTCGATCTCATTTTCTCAGACGGATTCTCGGATATCTGGGACAGTTTGGTCCATTTGCGTAAGCGCTCGACGATGTATTACGATGTTCACGCGTGTACATACAGTGTAATTTCTTTCGCACGGAAAGATGTAAATTAATCCCAGTCGGCGAAACGCTATATAGGTACAACGCGTCGCGAGCATAAATCACGCGGCGTTATCCGATCTGTTTTTCTCTGTCGATCGCTTCAATCCTGCAGCCGCGCAACGGCGCGGATGACAGTTTTCATTTAGTACGATGCAGACGATATACAAAATAATATATACGCGATCGTACTCGAAATAAATTATCGCGAGGTATTAAGCGAGGATGCGCGGAGATAACAGAGGGGGCCCGATTCAATGTGACGTATCAATAGATGATATTACGTGCGATTTAATTTCTGGCGAAAATCCAATCGCGTCGCATTACAAGGCGGTTAATGACGCGCACTCGCATTAATATTGTTACAGTTATTCGCTGCAGTATCGTCTTTATCACGAAAATGCAATTTAGTGCTGCGGCAACAATGAATATCGGAGCGTACGCATCTCGCGTGCGCAAGTAGAGCCGCATTATTTCCCTCTGATTTTCCGGTCTTCCGTTTAATATGTGATTTCGCAAAATTACGTACGCTCTGTATTTTTACAATAGTACTACACGCTATTTGTATAACGAATTAACTTGGCCCATGCGCATGGGCTGTTGAAATTACAGAATAATTTCTAGTTTATTATATGCATGGAAATATATATTACGCAAAAGTTACAATTAAATAAAAAATGCTCTTTAATATTCTGCAAATGGAAATTATTTTTGTTGAGAGAAGAGATGCATCACAGGAATCTTTTAATTAATTAATTGATTCGAAAATAGAATTACTTAATTATTTAATGACAATGGATTAATTAATTAATTAAAATGTAACTTTTATCCCTTCTCTTATCGGATCTAACTACCCCATATTTCTGTTTATATTATAATGATTAATTATGTTCAAGATCATTCAAGATAGAGTCAACAATTAAATTAAGATAAATTAAGATAAACGTCAAAGTTATGTTTAGATATCAAAGCGTGACGAAGATCGCGTGTGCGGCACGCAATAATCGACGTGCATATCTGATTGAACCGAGAGAGATCTGCAATTTTGATACGATCCTCCTAATCCTCGCGGCGAATTTAAATCGAGACGTCGTCCAAGCGATAAATCATTTCAATCGTGTAAAACAGATCGCGTTATCCGAGCCGGTTTTCCGGCTCTTTAATTTAGACCGGCAGACAGCGAGCGCGCGGGCCGGAACGCCGAGATGATGCTCGGCCGATTATTTCCACCGGTGTCATTGAAATCATTTACCGCGCCCGGCGGCGTAAGCCGTGTTCCAGGCAAGGTCATGTATCAAGTTCCGCGAGCGAGTTGCGCCACGCATCCGGGCTCCGGATGCATCCAGACTTTGAAAATTACCGGCAACACGATACGCGGTCGCGTTTTGCCCGGGATTGCGAGAGACAAGCTCGCCGCTGCGCTGCCCTGAATCTGAGCCTCGGCTTACGCAAGACGTTCGCAATAGATTTTCGCATATAAGGATCCGCCTCAATTCGCTCCTTCCGCGACGGGGTTGTAACTTTTCCTTCGCACGGCACGCGCGCGCTAATTTTATTCTATAATGATCAATACTCTTCTCGACTAAGAGGATTAGCTGGTTCAATACGTGCGACAATTTAAGTGTACGTCATTCCGTTACGATTCGCCACGTCGTTCCCGCGATGAAACGTTGGAAGAATATAGGAAGAACGTTTTTAAAGGGGAACGACGAAGCGTTTCACGGCGATTAAGCCGTGCTCCGTGCTCGTAAAAATTGGAGGACGATACCGCGAACTAGAGTTGCTCTGTCAGCCATTTCGTCACTGACGTACTTCGCGATGCGCAAAATAATCTCGTGGCTCTTATCACGGTTATGCTAATCGCGACGAACACGTCGCGACCGTGTTGTCCGTTCCATTTGATATTCGCTTTATTTATTTTGATCTTATAACTACTGGCAACATCAGCGTGAAATCTCTTTTTTTTCTTGCCCCTCTTGTCTCTCTGTCTCTTTCTTGTCTGTATCTCGCTTCGTAGTAAAACTACTTTAACACTTCGTGAAACTGGATACGATATTCACGTCACGATTACACGTAATTTACGTAATAAATTGATGCGTTTATCGCGAGACTCACCGCCGCCACTTTTGTAGCATAAATAAGGAAATCGCCAGATGTTACCAAGACCGACGGAGTAGCTTATGCAGGCGAGGACGAATTCCATTTTATTCGCCCAATGGGGCCTCCTGGGCTGCCGATAATAGCCGGGATCGTCCGCGTCCACGTCGTCATAGCTGGTGCACGTGGAAGCGTCGTCCTCGAAACTGCAAAAAAAAAATGCCACGCGCGACGTCAAGCTTTTATATTACAAATGTAGCCGGGGCTCGAACGAAAGACATCCACAGTGCGGAATGCGGAAAGAAAAATTGAGACAGAACTCCGCCGAGGGGGAAAAAATGCTACGAGTTATGACAGTTTAATGGAAAAATAGCAATAACAAGCGTTTTATTAAATATTTCGTCGAGCGAATAATATAATTTAATCTCCAGCAGCGTCGCGGAGTGAAAGGATAGGCGCTCGGCGCAGAGAGGGGCACGCCTCTAAATTCCCGGTCGGAACAATAGATCAGCGCCGCGCGCAGCGGAGGGTCATTGTTGCCCGCGACGATTCTTTTAGGACGCTTAATGATTTCACGCCTCGTATTGTGCACCTACGGAAACTGCTTAATGCATTATGAAAATTTATTTGACGGAAAATCACACAGAAACGCGCGTCACGCCGTCCGCCGTGCTGCACGCGTGGAGTGGACGTGCCAGCGCCTGGCCTGCTTGCCTGCCTGCCTGCCCGCTTGCATTTGCATGACACGCGTTCGTTCATATACGCAAGCCCGGTGGCGATCATTAAATATTCATCGTCATTGTTTATAGAGCGGTCGAATTCGAGCGTTACAACGCGATGTGCCGATTAGCGACGGTAACAGTCCTGGTATTGCGCGAAATATCACAGAGCCGCTAATTATACCTGGCGACGATTCCGCTCGCGTTCGCGTTCATGGGCGCGGGGCACGCAAACGAGAGCCGATACCCGGGTTCCTTCCGGTATATCGGCTCTCCCGCGCTATACCGTGAATAAAATGTCGCGTGAAATAGCGTGCGACATAAAAACCGACTTTGCGCGGTGCATTATATAAGCGTCAAGATCGAGGAATTTTTATGCGTTTATTGCGCAAATTTGTACTTTACGGTGCGGTGAGCGCAGAAATGGTGTCAGGCCATGGGGCCGGGCGGCGCGGGCGGCGGAGGGGCCAGGAAAGGGCGGCCGACAATGCTGAAAGATATACGCGACGCACCTGTATACATTCCCGTTCGTTTTGCAACGGAAAACTAATATACCGCGCCGCGGAAACATTGCGGATACGATAATGTGCCCCGTATACGGTGTGTCAATAGCTTTTTTTTTTTATTTATTTAAAGAGAAGATATATGTATCGTCATCGCAAATATGACAGTAACGAAGATGGGTGTCGAATGGGTGTCCCCGATCGACCGAGTTTTCGTAGCAAAGAAGAAAACGACTGATTTAAGATGAATTATACTGCACGATGGAATTCTAAAATTGATGGACGCGATTAGATAATATTATTTATTATTTGAGGATTTTGAGAAATGTATTCCCAGTTTCTCTGTACTTTGCGAATAAATTAATCATTAATCGAATGAGCTGTGGCGTACCGGAAGTGTACATAGTTGCGATGGGCAGCGTGCTCCGCTTCTTTATTCGCGTTAACGATCTCGCAATGACGGATATCGTTTTCCCACGCGGGAGATCCGTAAGCGCGCGCGCGCGTCACTTCAAAAACGAGACGTGACGAGGTCTAAATGTAGGACGACGATTACGGGTCGTTTCGAGCGCCGTCCCGTTTCAATGGAAGAAGCGGTACGGAATCGCAACAATATGTCACACCGCACGGAGCACACCTACTTACAACAACCGGTGCGGGGTCTTACATTGTACACCTATTATCCACTTACGTCTCCGGGACGATACGCCGGAATTGCAGGCCCTGGATGACGAGATCTGACGGCTTCGCGCCGAGCAGCTTAGACGCGTATCGCATCTCTCGTCACGTACGTAGAATCCGCCGCAGCCCGACGAGAGAGGCGAGGCCCTAATCAGAGTAATCGAAACCGGTCTAACTAGACCGGTCTAATTAATGGGCGAATTCAATTTTCGGTTACGGCGCGCATTCGGCGTCTCTCGGAGCGACCAAAGACATCATTTTCGCGCACTGACATTCGAACTCACCGAAATTATACCGGAAATTATACCGATTTCGATCCCCTGACTTTAATTTACGAACGGGACGACGAATCTGATGCAGCAGCCTCCGCGCTTTAGAACAGGTCGTAGCAAACGTCGATTAGAGCTATTTGTAGTAAACTGAGAGCCCCCAATTTCATCGACGTCGATTAACTAACTTGACCCTTGCTCCTTTCTGGATCCTAGTCCTGCCTATCAACAGCGGTCAATTAATATTAATTAATAGCGCGATCAATCCTAAACTCTAAGGTATAATCTCATATGTCTCGTATAAAATTAATTAGATATTTTAAAGCTGATTTTAGTGACGAAAAAAGATATGAACGTCATAAATATTTATATTTGATATATTTTGTAATATATTTCAATTTATTTTGTTTATATTTCAGCCTTTCTGCATTAAAACTAAATTTATTCTTTTCTACTTTACATTCTTCATTCTCTATTCTCAAAACTGTGACCCAGAAAGGAACGGAAAAATTTAGTTAACCATTGATGATTGACGCGACTGACCTTGAACAGCGCGAAGAAATTTTGCTGCTGCATCAACGCGACGAAGCGAAGTGGTAAATTTGCAATGTGCAATTGACTTGACAATGTGCAATTGACGCGAATTAGGTAAGCCTCCGGAACTTTTTACGGTATCTTTATTGTTCGGAGATAATCGTTAGGATTAGTTACGAAGTGCACTCGAACTGCTGCCACGGAGCTCTCCTACTGAAGGTTGCATCGGGCTGCAGCTTCATTTTTATGCGTCGTGTATGCGGTTCAGTTTATTTATAACGTTTACACGAAGTATTAGGCGTTACGTGAGAAACATATGGAAGACAGAGCTTCTTACACATTTTAATCATGACGCTAATTTACGATCATGATGTGTTTTCAAGCTCGGAGTTAAAGAACACTCGCACGAAGGAATAATTTAATTAAATGCGACGGGGAGAAGAGATTTAAAGCGCAAAGATGTGTCGATTATCTGAGTAGTTTGCCAATTTTTAAGATAAAACGTATAAGGTCCGATAATTTATTGGAATTGAAGTGTTATCTCAAATGCGCGCCATCATTTTTCTTAAAATAAATCTTGTCTCTGACCCAATATCATTTTCGTCAAATATGTTTTCACCAGACGTTACATAAACACAAAAACTTCGATTTTATCTTAATTACTTGTAAAATGTTTCTATAGCATCGTAATTATCTCTTTAAAAACAAATTTATTCTTTAAAAATAAGGTTCTTCAAGAAAATAAGAAGAAATTCAACGAGATTCAAGAACACGACACGCCAGGAACTGATCCGTCGTATCTTTTCCGACCAAACTTTTGCGTCTCGTTTTTATAAGACGCAAACGTAGCCTGATCGTTCCTTTTGTAAAGACATATTACCTTCGCGCGAAAGCGCACTCACGCTAAGCGGCGGGCACGCGTGCGCGCTATCACGTGGAGAGATTCACGCGAGGCTGTTTCTTCGAAAGCGCCGAGGCACAATCGTAAGCAATGTGTCTCACTTACGGCGGCGGATGTACCACGTTAAGCAGCTCCGACGGCGAAGTGGGAACTCTACGTATCGTGAGCTTCCGGCCGTCGGAAGAGCCCAGGCCGATCGACGCCTGCAGGGACCTAATCGAGACCGTGTCGGGGAAGGAACGGCCCTGGCTCCCGTTTGTCTCCGGGTACAGGACGGAGGACCAGGTAGGCGACAGTTGATGGCAGCAGGGACAGTGCTGCTGGTTCTCGTCCATGCTGAAAGTCCTCGGTGGATGCACGTTGAAACAATGATGATGATGCCGTAGCTCGACGCTTCTGGAGCTCGATCTGCCGGGGCTGTGCGGTCCGTTGTCGCGATCCGAACTCGACCCGGACCCGGCCTGATCGATCATCAGCCGTGGCTGCGGCCGCCGCCGATGACCTTTATCCCGACGAACGCTCTCAGGACTCTCAACGCGATTGATCGCCCTTCCGACGTTGTTACCATTATCGGCCGGCACAACGAGGATCTCACGTTCGGCGGTGTTCAGTAAACGACCTCTCTCCTCCTCCGAAGACCATTCAGCTTCGATCTCCGGACGTTTCTGACGCTGATGGCGGATCCTGATTACATCCGGATCCGTGTGGTCGGATACGTCATCTTCTTCTTCGAACATCGTGCTCATTTTACGCACGGCCTGTTTGCCGTGGAGCTTGCCCTGGGTAGCATCGCCGTGCTTCGACGGGACGGACTTACTGCCGTTACGCGCTTCGTCGCTGATGCTGCCGCTGACGCCGCTGTCGTTGTTGCCGCTCTCGGTGTCCATAATCGCATGACCACCTCTATAGACAGAGATATATATATATATATATATATATACATATATGTATATACTGGAGGGAGGGGAAATATCTCTTTAGTGTTCTAGAAAAATTGGCAATTATAATACTGCCATTTCGAAAACCAGTTTTTTTCTGGTAGTACCGCTTTAAAATAAAAGAAGAAAAGAATAATAGCATTATAATCTGGTGTTATGCTAAAATCGATGATAAATTACGATTCATCAAAGTGTCGAATAGATATCGGCTTAAATTTCAAACTAATTATATTTTAATTAAACTTTTAGATACATTGCCACATAATAAAATCGTGCGGCAAAATTGACAATTGGTCCCATGTATAATATGTACACATGATTCTTCGCAGGATACGCGAATAAAGGAAAAAAGTACAAAAATTATCAAGTCCAAGTCGAATTTTCAAAGGAAAAATTGACTTCAGCTTTTACCGTGGAATTCAGAATACGTTTGACGATTCTGGAACAACCAGAAAGAAATGAATAAATAACAACGAGAGACGTCAGACCATTATTCGACCAGGCTTCCGCCGATTTTATCGAGAAGGTAGTAGTGAGCGGCGAGGCGATGGAATACTCGTAGGGTTCAAACGAGAAGAATACGTTACACCGTATCGAGCAGCACGACCAAAGCGCGTGTTCGGTCAGTCTGCGACTGACCATTGATGAAGTTCCAGCAACGCGTCAATGAAATACTCTATGCTCGCGAAACTAATCATGTACTACGAAAAATTGTTATATAAGTAATAAAAATTAATTTTTATTATGTATCTCTTCTTTCTCACTTCTTATAGAGATATCTCTCTTATAAAGATTTTTATGAAAAATGTTTGATCTACATATATTTCGTAAATATTATCGCACGAATGTTCTCCAAATGTTCTCCAAATTTCGATGAAATAATATTAAATTTAACACGTGTATCTACGAATCGTATTGTACGCAACGCTTACCGATGCGAACAAGCTTTGAGTGGCGCGAGGAGTGTCTCTCTACGGTAGTTCACACGATTAATTAGCATAAATTGTTGAATATATTAGACACGGTGCCGCGACGAATATCAATTCAAAAAATTCGAATCACTGGCGATTTAAATTGTCCACTGACGAAGTTGAGTCGTTATACCACCAATAAAAATCAACAAGTCGTATTTTATGAAATCATCAAATATCTTCGTGATATAAATGTTTATTACGTCTATTAAAACTAGAACCAAGTAGTTAAGATGACTGGCTTGTGATTTCTTATCAAATTTATAATCCATTTTCTGACACCTTCAGTGACTTTGTTGTAATCACTGTATGTAAATCACTAAATTGATCAATTTACGTTCCCTATTCTGTAAAAAAAAGAGATACGTACATATATTTAAATTTATATGAATATATTTAAATAGTAAAAAAATAAATACACTTTAATCGTTGTTAGTCCTATTCTATTATTAATATCGATATTATTAATATCATTAAATAAATTATTATTGTTAAATATCGTTAAAGAATTGCCATTAAAAAGTCGTTTCTCTATAAATATTTGAAATCAGCGAACCTATTCTCGTAGTTTCAAAAGCCTGAATTTTTTATTACTTTCAGCTTATTTTAAGTACCTTGACTATAGATTCTTTAACGTTAGTATTATTTAATTTTACTTTATTTACCTGTTTAAATTTGATTTTTTTTCTTGTTTCTGTTTTACAACACAAAACCCGCTAAAACAACTTTCTTTCGTCTTGACGTAATGACGAGAAACGGCCACGTGACTGCGCGCGTACTCTTTGCAGATACGACCGACTAACGTTGCGCGACTCTTTACGACGTTCTGATAGCTAGAGATAGTGTCATCGCAGGTGCGCATGGCTATCAATCCAATATGATATGTTACAAAATTCTCGCACACGATAATGTTTACAAATGTCTTACGACGTTCAAACAATTTTCACGCGGGCAGTCATTACGTCAAACAATCGCTGTAGAATTATCGCACTGGCAATTTCTTAAATTGCTTAAACAATTATGCTATTTCTCTTTACGATATCGATAAATAACGAAAAATCAAACAAGCAATAGGACAAAAAATCATGGAAAACAACACGCTTTTATACACACACACACACACACGCGCGCGCGCGCTATCTTCGCTAAGTTCGCCGTGTTTTGCATGGCTGTACATCTCGCGCACGAATTTTATTATAATTCGCAAATACTTTCGAGCACTCGGCATTGTTACGTAAGCATCGTGAAAACTATTTGCACTTTCGGTGATGAGGAAAGAAACAAATCGTGCGCCGCGTCGAGAATACGAGGTATCGAGATCGAATAGAGCGCGCGCTTTTCGGAGCGCGTTGTCGCAGGTAAGCGTCATCCGATGACACTTCCACGCGCGTCACGTGTCACGCGGAGTGTGCGTTACCTGTCAGATTGCAGCGTGCCTCGAAATCGGGATCGGGCGCGTCTCGACGAGCCGAGCAAAAGTCATCCGCGTATCGCTCGAGTGATAACGAGGCTACATCATCGACTATGCGCATAACACACACGTACGCACACATGTACGCGCGCGAGCGCGCGCGCGCGTTTTCTCGAGCGTGTCACGTGTACTATCGTCTGCAGCGCGGCATAGCGCGTGTTCGTTCTGCAATCACTCCGTTTTTCCCCGTTTCTTCTTCTCGGTACGAAACCGCGCGAGGCGCGCGATCGCCTCGGAACAATCGTTTCCGGGCCGCGAAGCGACGACACCGCGCCGTGAACCCGCGTTTCACGGCGATCCGGGTTCGTATACGCCCGTGCGTCGCAATCGCCCGCGAATCGTGACATACGCACATATACGTACACGCACGGACTGTATGCACGCACGCACGCACGCACGTCACGCACACGCGACACACTGTGCAATACCCACACCGCGACGTCAGCGCTGTTGTACGTGCGTGATTCGCGACGCGTGCATAGTTGAGAGACTCAAGTCCGAATCGTATGACTCGCGTACAACTCGGCCGGTTCTGGAGGGGGAAAGGACCGTGATATCCTCTTCTGGATACGTGCCCACCTCTCTCATGGTCAGCGCGACGAGTATTTAGCGGATCATGTAGGGGGGTATATCAACGTATGCTCGGTCATACGATCAGAGAGAATGATGGACAGATAGATCAAGTCTCGCTGTATAAATCAAAGATTTTTTCCAAATTCTGGGGTCAAATCTCGAATACGTATCGGCGAAACGAGAGCGAGGAAAGTACGATGACGACTGCGGAGAAAAGAAAAATTGCAGATGTCCAAGTTTCCAGGTTGATAAGTCGAACGATATGTGAACGTTCGTTGTCATCAATGTTAGACATCGAATTTAAATAATTATTACAACAAAGTTTTCACTTTCTATTTTTGCATAATTTTAATTCATCTGCGAATTTACTATTATTTTTCACGTTATACAAAACTGAGGGAACGGGGCTTATGATATGTAGAATGCCACGTCTTTTTGTATATATTTTAGAATTATATCGTGTCTATTAACACGATTACACAGTAACCGACCAACTTTTAATGTAGGCGATTGACGGCCTCGGATTTTCTTCTCGGCACAAGGTCGCTTTCTCAAGTCCGAAGCGGTTGTCTGTCCGTCGTTAAAGTAACATCGACATTTACTTATCTTTCTAAGGATCTGGTAGAAAGTATAGGCGAAAGAGATTTTATATATATTCTTATAGATGGATTAGGTAACGAGTATTTCTAACACGACTACGTGACAACTTGATTATTATGCGTGGAACTTCTTCCAAGTTATTAATTCGCTTATGCTAATGAGACTCTGAATAGTCTAAATATTATATAGTAATCAGACTAAGTTCATCCTACGTATAGACAACAAGCGAAACACTGGCTTTCGCCTGTTTAATAGCAACCGTATCTACTGCGGTGATTTTAAACCTGCACGAGGCGATCGTCAAGTTGCGTTTTGCTCAATACGCAGACAGTGTAGCAACAAATCATGAAATTCTATCGTTTATGTAATATTTTAATTACTTTCTATTTTATTAAAGAATATTATTTTGATTTTATTCTAATATTTTTTATGAAAAGACAATAATAAAAAACCTTTCTAAAATATGTAAAGATTATTAAACTATTAGATTAGTTACATTATTAGATAGATTATTAGATAGATAGAACAAGTTATTCTTGATTTATCTTTCTAAATAAGATACTTTCCAGAAATAATGTTTAAAGAAGATGTGAAACGTTGACATAAAACTACAATATATGTATACTTTAGATTTTGTCGAGGAGAAGAATCAAAAGAAATGTAAGTTTTTCAGTTTCAACTTAAGTGAAATATTTAATCGTTATAAATTTCTCTATACAGTACGTGCAGTTTATTGCATTTTGTAAGTCTAACTAAGACTATGATTTATCTATAATAATTATGTTATTAACAGCAACACACACACACATTTCTAAAATAAACAACATCTTATGTAAATAATCTTTATTATATTTGCAAATAAGAATTACCGTCTGAAATCTTATAAAAACTACGTGAGTCACAAGGCTGTACATTAAAAAAAATAAGTAACGGAATATCGACGGATGTTTTAATCTATCTTAAGTGGTTTTCCCATTCGGCTCACGCCCCGTTTAACGAAGGTTCCGTTTCCTTTCACCGCGATTCCTTTTACGTGATAAACATTGATTATCGCGTAATACCCTTGTCTACACGTGCACTCGCGGCCGCGCGCGCGCGTTACCATACGGCTGGTAGGATCACTGGGCCAAGGACCACCCTGGCGGCTGTCTGTGGATTCAATTCCCACGGAAGACCGGGTAACGGGTGCTTATAAAGACGCCGGTGTCATTACCCTAGGGTTAAGTATTGGTACAATTGAGCGTAACCTTTGCTTTCCTCGCGCCTAAAAAGGGAAAAATAGATATATCCGCGTGATTAGAATTAAAGCGATTCATCGTTAGGATTTGCGTCGATCAGCCGCGGTAACAGATTATGTTTACACATCGGCGAGTTTTATAACTCAGTTTAATAACTACCGGGTACTATCCGATCCAAAATTTTTCTTTTTTTGATTATATAATAATTATTTAAATATAAATTAAATATTTTGATACTCTAAACATTTTAATCAATCTCTGAGATATACATATATATATATATATATATATGTATGTATATATATGTATACTAAAAGTCGTAGTTTAAGTATCAAAAAAGTCTCATATCTAAATGATTATTATGACCATGAGGAAACAAGTTTTTGATCGGATAGTATACGATAGTTATTAAACTGGGTTGTAAACCACTGTGTAAACATAGTCATAATTGTTGATTTCATAACAAAACCTTCGCCGTAAATTCGTAATGTCACTGAAAACTCGAAAAAATTTTTAAGTGATGAGCGCAACAAACGGGATAAGAATGAACTCGCGGTGGTCGCGTTAGGTGTCCGCGTTACTCGATTTGCATATATCCAAAGTCTGGGGACCAATCCAAATTTTTGGATCACGAAAGGCATGAGAGGCCTTTCACGATAGGGCACCGCGCGCGTTCGTTTGCATCTGACATTCAAACCCACGTGGAATATTTCTATAATTTCTCGAATAATCCCAGTCATTGTCTCTCTCGCGAACGCGCCCATCTGTCTGACGCCGTGGTTTTATCGAAAGATAGAGATTTTTATTCCGAGACCGATTGTACGTCCCAAAATTTATATGATAATAAAGGTTGCCTCGACATTTCCTTGAGGCGCAACACAACACTTACGTCATGTGGCATGAAAAAAGAAACACTCTAACGTCGTCGAATTTCAGTCTTTTTCGTATCCCAACGGCGCGCGGCGTAACAATGCCCGTATCACACTAGCGATTGGCGATTGCGTCTATACGTTTGCGTTTACGTCTCTTGACCAATCAGAAAGTAACTACTGGCGATTGCAATTCGCGATTTTCGTTCTGATTGGTTAAAAAATGTAGACGCAAATTCGTAAACGCAATCGCCAATCGCTAGTGTGATACGGGCATTAATGATTTCCGTTCGCTTCGTGGAGATCTTTCCCGCGAAAGCCGCGGACTTGGAAGAAAACGATACGGGTTGTCTCTTGACCTGCCACGACGATGTATGGCTGTCTGAAATCTAACAAGATCGTAAAACAGTTGTAAAATCGTTCGGTAAATCATTCGCTGATCCGTACAAGTCGCCGCCGCGTTTTAACTGTCGGAGTGCACGTCAGCAATCAGACAGACATTAATTAATCTTCCCGCTTGTCGCGAAACGCATACACGCGCGTTTGCATCATCTAATCCTCAACTCGCAGGTGTACCGGTTTAAATCTCCGATATCGAAATATTGCGCGAGAAGCATAATAATGAACATTGCAGAATCGAACCAGTTTATTTTTCTGAGAAGATAATCGATTTTTTTCCTCTCTCTTTCTCTCTTTCTCTCGACTTCATTCATTCGTTCATTCTCTTTCTATCTCTTTTCCTCTTTCTTCCTCGACGCGCGCGAGCGACGACGATCCCGCGAGATCGCCCCGAGCCGCAAACCGAAAAAGAGAAGTCGCCGAGTCCGAGTCCGCGGGTTGCGCAAGGCGGTCGCCTCGTCATTACGTAAGGGCGAAAACTACAGGCCGCGCGGCGGACTGTCGTCGTCGCTGCGGCCGAGAGGAGGAAAATCTCCAGCGCGGAGTATAATTGCGCGCGTAGTCGGACGCGCGCGGCGCGCGCCGGCGCCTGCAGGTGGTCCCCGCAGGTTTTCCGCAGGTGGGCGCAGGTGGAGACCGCACGCCGTGCCGCGACGGTGACACCCGCCGTGTGCCCCCCAAGCGGGGGTGCCGTCGAGAGCCGCTTCCCGGCGTGCTCCCGATCTAGAGCTCTCTTAGAGGGAGCAACGCACAGGCGGCCGCGCCGAAATAAACTTTCCCGGGTTATGTAAAGACTGGCGTCTCCGCATCGTGGACTGCGCCGGTATAAAGGTCGGCTCTGCCCCCAACGGTCCAAGAGTTGCTCGCGAACTTCACGCCGGCAACCATCGGGAGAGGCGAGAGCTCTACATGTGACCGCTTGCTCGTGGTGCCGCCTTGCCTTCTTTTTTTTATTTGTCTAACGTCGTCTATTCCGCTCGAACGCGCTGCACCCACTCGGCTCGGGACGCTCCTCGTTTTCTTTCTTTCGCGTACCGCGATTGTCGTATAAACGCGCGATCATCGTCGAGCCGGCAGCATGCGTGCCCTGGTAAGTCTGCTCTTCTTCCTGAAGGCTGTCTTGGATCCTATGTGAAATCAAAAAAATATTCAAATTTTCCTGATTCATTTCCGATGATAAACTTTTGGATTTCCAAATTGTAATACAGTCCACTCGATATGCGATAAACATAACGCGCTGAACGACTAATATATGAAAGAGCAAGAAAAAAAAAATAGAAAAATCAATATTTATATCAGTATTTTTTCTTCTCTATATGGCGAATATGACCGATACGGTTTGTAATCAAAAAGTAAAAATAAAATTAAATTGGATAAAGTTTTTCCAGGTTTCTTTCTTTCTCGTTCGGATATTTATAAAATCTGTATGTATTTTACGTAGAAAAGATGTAATAATATTTTTGTTCTAACGAATGCATGAAGAGCTAACTTTCACGTAACATGTGCACGAGTATATAAGTTGCAATTTTACTGGGACTCTATTTAAGGAAAAGCTTTTATGTGTAGCACAGATAAAGTATGATGTGCCACTGCATTTTTGTAACTTTACGAGACTTTGCGTATCTGGGTCACGGAAAAATACACATAAATTACACACATACGGATGTAAAATATACGCGATATTTTATATTTGATCCTGCACATATAATATTAAGCGTTACATTAAACTTTGACAATATGAGTAAAATAGATTACCTCGAGCTCGTATTCATTTCGCTATATCATTAATCTATACATCCCAGATTGGCGTTATTAAACAATGCATTTTATTTATTGTTTAAAAGTCATTTATTCATGCCGGTCTACTTTCGTTATATTTTACCGTTACGATAAATCGTCTGGTTAAAAAAACCGTCAATAAAAACGCGCGCAATAATTTCTCTTTGCGATAGTCTTTCGCGAAATAAAAAAAATGCATGAAGAACGCATTCAATTTTCGCATATATTTCCGCATTAGTCACACTCCGTGCATTTAATTTCCATAACAATAAACACGTTCGATCATTGATTTCTCTAAATCGAAGTCGAAGTTGATCGCCCGTACATATTTATGAGCGGCCGTGCGTGATTTAACGTTACGTACGCGTACGGTATGGGCTATTCATCATCGTATATACGAAAGTTACGCGGCGCAAAACAAGCCATTACAACATTGCGTAATCTATTTAAATTACATAACTCATTAAATCTGTGAGGCTCGGATAATGGCAATATTGTCGCGCGAATCTTGCACCGATGATGACGGCCGACCATGACGAACGAGCCGTTAATTTGCATATACATACATATTCTCTAATTGTTCACTTTCTCTGTAGAAAGCACAAGTTGGCTGATTGATCGAGCCATCTGTTCGGTATCTTAGCGATATTATTGTTGATCAACAATGTTACCGCGAATCCTGTCGGTTTCCCACGCGAGTTTGATCATATACTTTATATCAACGTATAAAAAGCGCCTTGAGCGAATAAAAATCACAATAGAATGTCAAACGTGCAAAATACTGTAAAATATAAACTGAGAAACGTTGAAAAACGTTAAAAACATTTTTTTTAAATAAAGACTTGAATAATACTTTATTTTTATATAATTATTTCTATAACCCATTCGGTAATTCTCAATGAATTGAATCTAAATTGCAATTATTAATCCTCAGTATTGTTAATATTAATTATTATTATGTTATTAATGTTATTAATAATATTAATATTATACGGGATTATGATTCATCACATCAAACTAACGCGTTTATTTACAATATTTACATAGACCGCGATTGTTCGCGCCGCACGGTGAATGGTGGCGGGGAATGTACCAACTAAACCGGCACAAAACGAATCGGTCTCGGTCACCGGATGCTAATAATCGAAGACTGTGTCTATGGGAAAAAGTCACGTTCAATCGTGAGCAACGTAATAAGGCGTCATTAGCGCGAGGTACCCCTCCCGTTCCCCTTACCGATCACAATCGTGACCTACCTACCGACACATTCATCTTGTCCTGACCTTTCGCGGGGAAAGGTATCTCCCGGCGGCTTTACATGACGAGGATTAAAGCACCTGGCGTGCAGACGCGCGCCGGTTCTCCGTGTACCGTCACTAACATCGCGAGTATCTCCTGGAAGTGGAAACAGCACGTCCCGATCGAGCCAATCTCTCGCTCCGCTGGAACGAAATCATTCCGATTAATTTTCTCGCAAATTTGCCCATTGAGATATTTGCGAGATAACGCGAGCCATTTGTTCTCGATTATTTTATGCAGCCTTTACACCTTCGAGAAGTCTATAAAAGTGAATTTAGTGTGATCGTAAACGCTCGTCGCGGAAAAAGTCTGCATATTTATCAACTCAAACAGCGATGAGCGCGAATCGGCGAGAAGGACGCCCGGTGTCATCGTCGGCTCATCCTGAAAATAACGCCTTGTCCATTATTCATTTACGACGATGATGTAATTAACTCGGTATAACAGCGTCCGAAAAACCGTCAATCAACTCCTCGAAACATTTTTTTGCGGATAAACTTCTTAATCTAAAATTACGCGAATTCCAATTTTGAAATTGCAAATTTAATAGAATGCGCACAAAGCGATTGATGCGGATTTAAAAACAACATGTGAAAACGAATTTGTATTACTTCCAACATGAATGATTAAAAAGGTTATCGATCAAATCACTGTACAAGAAACAAGAAACCATTTACACAAATCTCTCATTAATCTTTCAATCTTTTATTTTACAACCTATATAAGCGAGTCTTGAGTCATAATAAGTTTTAACGAAATGTGGGTAACCAACGCTAATCGATTTCAAGACTCGCGAAGATATATTTTTAAATACAGACAATTTCTCAGATATAAGAACAGAAGATACTGACTTTTACTTCTTTGCTTTCAGTTGTTAGCGGCCCTTTTCGGGTTTGTCCACGGCCAACAGTACTTCCAGGACCCGGAGAAGATCGTGAGCTACTCGCGCGATCTCGGCGACACCCGCGGCCATTATTCATTCTCCTACGAGACCGAGGGCGGTATACTCCAGCGGGAGAGCGGTAGCCGCAAGTACGCCGGCACCTCCGACGAGACGCAGCTGATACAGGGTTCCGTGCAGTACAACGCGCCGGACGGTACCCCGATCGCCATGAGCTGGACCGCCGACGAGTTCGGCACCCAAGTGTCCGGCACCCACATTCCCACCCCGCCGCCGATTCCACCGGCGATCCAGCGTGCCCTCGAGTGGATCGCCAAGCAGCCCACCACCCCGGAGCCGATCGAGAAGGACAATCCGACGCAGAACGCGGTCCCCCGCGACAACCGTCAATATCGATTATCCTCGAATAAACGAAATTGAACGCGCGCGCTCGCCCAACGTTACTAGCGTTAAGTCCGTCCAACACCACTGCCCGTCCCTCCTGCCGCTTTATACGATACGATGCTTTTAATAATAAATTGTATACTTTTATAGAAATTCCTCCGAGAGTACTGTCTCCGTGGAAATGTATTTTGGTGGGAGTTACGTCTTTACGTGCTACAGCATTCCCGTGTCAGGGGTGGTTTTAATAGATAATAGCGAGCCATTCTATTCTCGTATGCTTTCTCGTAGTTTGCACATGATCTCATAATCAAACGCATATGGTAGACCGTTCTAAAGAGACGAATCGTCTTTTTTGTTATATTCACACATTTGTCTTCTGTCACTTTTTTGTCATTGTCGTCTAGAACTGAACTGAATGATCTACATTCGATATATGTATACATTCAAGCGTATGTAAACAATGGCATAAATAAGTGAGTACTGATGGAGCTGAGATTATTTAAGCGCACTTCACATTTTTTTACATGTACCTGCCTTTTCTCGAAATATAAGTTTTGTCGAACAATTCTCTAGTCTGCACAACCGTTATATTCCTAAGCTATATTTATTACCTTATACGCGAAGGCAATAAATGGACTGCATTTATTCATTTCTTATACGCGCATTATCATAATTTAGTCATGCAAATTTTGTCCTTGATCATTTAAATAATGCGTGCTCTTTGCAAATTAACTTATTGCTATGGTTTATGGAATTGCGCCTAGGAATTTTATTTTTACGTAAAGCGTAGCTTAAAATGTCAAAGGATTAATATTCGAGATTAATATTCGACATGGAGACGCTAATTATTACCACTATTTATTATCGGGATATTGTTGCGTTGTATCTTCATTAAACAATAGATCGTAAAAGAAGTTTTTGAAAAAAATGACGCACGTGCTCCAAAAAATTTGCACACCACGCGCCGAACTTTCCATAACTTCATAAGCGTTCCAACGCCTCGCTCTAACGCTGTTCTCGTTAAAAATATCGTTAACGTGATTAATGAACCGAACATTTCGCTTGTCTACTCATTCCACCCCGGATGAAGGCCAACAAGATTTGCACATCGACGAAATTTATTTACAGCATATCATCGAAATACTGTCCTTATACAGATATTGTACAAAAGAATTACAGAAATTTATACAGGCGCACATAAATATAGAAATAATTACGACGTGAAGGACCGAGTCTGTCGAAATTGTCGATCTACACGGGGATTAAATATCCCGTCAATTCTCAGATGACCACGATCAGTTTCCCGCTAGGTTTCTCCCGATCGTCCTATTTTCTCGAGTTGACTCGCCTTGACTCGCCAATCCTATATCCTCCTTCCGTCACACAATTTTATTCGGTATTCTTTAGTGCTCTTCGTTTTCCTCGGGGTGTTCGGCGATGTACTGAAGGGCCTTTGCGATTTGAGGTGGTACCGGGGGCGCGGTGGGCAAATGAGCACCCTCTGGCTGGAATCCATTCTCGTTGGCTACGTACGAGATTTGGTAGGTCTGGCCGTCGGCGTCGGTATAGCTGAAGCTGCCGTGTGCCTCCAGGGCCTCGCTGTCGGTACCGACATTGTTGAGATGACCCTCTTCCTGAGCCTGAATTCCGTTACCAGTCTCGTAGCTGTAGTTGTAGGATCCGTCGGGGTTGGGCCCATCCAGAGCTTGCTTGAGAATGGGGATTAGAGTGGTGTTGTCGACGGGGGCGGCGAATGCCACTGCCACGAGGGCGCACAAAGCAATTACCTGGAAAGACAAAGAATCACGCAATGCTTTGAGTTTGTATTATTTTACTTTTAAACTTTTATTTTATTTTTGCGTTAGAATAAGGAAAATTTCTTCCGAAAAATTTTACCGATATAAGTAATAGAGTATATATTGAAAGAGCAAAAATATCATCAACATAATTTATTCTCATTTTACACAATACATAGTATGGTGAAGCATTTTATATCTCTATCTAATAATTTACAATATCCGTTATATATGACAATAAAATATATTAATTAGTCTACGTAAAATTTTGACGTTAAATACCTTTTTATTGTTAGAAGGAAATTTTATAAAGAGAAAAATGTAGAAAACAAATTAATGGTATGACTTACTTTTTGTATTGATTATATACCTTGTAATATTTGTTATAACGCTTGTTTTTATTAACTTTAATTTAAATTTTTAATTACACGGTTTGTGAGCAGTAAACATTAAATAATTTAACATAACAAAGATCCTTGATTATATCTTTAAGTAAAAATTTTGCACTATGATTGTCTGATCGAGACAAATCGCTTTGATCGATTTACTCAATCGAAAGGCACTCAAATTACAAAAATATCGCAGATTCGAGATCATGCGTCTATGGGTATCTGCCACTTGCGTTACGTAACATCTTTTATCCGCACAAAGCTCAAACTCACCAATGGATTCATGTCGAAAGAAAAAGATATATTTTATTTCCCCAGCTGCCAAACTCGGAAGCTTCTCATGCACTGACTTAACATCTCGTGCACGTCTTCCGCTTTATATATCCTCCATCCGAACATTCGGGGACCTTCTGGTAATACCTTATTTAGGCTCCCCTCCATCCCCTGGGTCCCCTTGTTCGTTCCCCCCACTCGAACGAGTCGCAGTATCATCCGAATTTTGCGGATGAGCCGAACGCGCACACACGCACACGCTTGCTCTTCTCTTGGAGGACTTGAGGTCATACATATGCCTAAAACCGCAAAAGGTCGGCGTATCAATTTAGTAAAGAGGTGAACTCACCCGCTTAGGATAGGACAAAATAATCCTGTCATCATGGAAAAAATAGCGTGGACTTTAGCAGCTTCAGTAAAATTTGCGGTTGAAAATCGTGACAGTTGCCAGAGAAATTATGACGCTCATTATGTTCGATAAAAATTCGCGTTTTAAAAGTTACCGCAAATGTGTGAGAATACGTCAAATGTATAATCAAGAGTGAGATATCAATGCGAGCGGTAATATCGCACAAAATATATATAATAATTAAAACATATTAAAACAAAATACTTTACACATAAAAAATATTTTTCTGAGAAACATTATTCCATAAAGAGAGCGATTTACCTCACTTCACCGATTTTTTTTTAATTGTCTTTTTTAACACTATTGTATATACGAGTCGGATATCTCTATATATAAATTCTCTACATACTTTAAAAAATGAATATCTACCTATGCTGACAAATATTTCTATCTATATTTAAAAAACATTTTTGAAAGAATGTATAATGCTACAAGTTTTTTATAATTTTTATCGATAAACATGATCTCATTTCTCAGTCAGGAATTTATCTTTTTACTATTTCGTATAGTTTGCATTTTTATTATCTGTCAACGCTAACTAATTTGCAATGCAGCGTTCATTTTGATTATCATGTGTGTGTAAAGTGCCTATTTTCAAACCTTAATTATGCAGGAAATTTTTCATATCCATTTGGAAAGAAACTTTATACAATGCTATAAATCTTTTCAAATAATTTCTTTTGTGACTGTTACAACTGTTTATTACGTCAATCACGATTAAACGTAACGATTCTGATATTTCCGAATATACATTTAAACTAAAGAAAAAATGTCCTTTAATTATACATGAGATTTTTAAAAATGCAAAATAAAAGAAAATATCGTAACTGCTGCTAAAAGCAAATGACGTCATAACAGAGTTTTTTTGTCCGAAAAGTTGCAACTGCCGATGATGAACACATCATCATTGGAATATAAAAAAGACTGATACAGCTGTGCTAAAGGACAACTCGTGACCATCGGGAAATCCACGTATTCATGATATGTTAAAAACAGCGCGGTAAGATATCAATTGCAATATAAATCATCATATTTAAATTTGGCTACTGAAGCTGCTCCCGTACAACGCTCGCGATATTTCTCTCGAATATTAGTTAACGAACGAACGAACGTCTCGCGCATGTCAGTTAAGCCAGGAATTCCGAAAGTACAGCGAGTGTCCTACGAATCGTCTTCGTCGTTCGTGAACACGTAAGTGTCGTTAATTTTCTCGCGTAAGTAGGTACATAAGTATTAGCCTACGCTCGCGGCACAAGTGAAAGAGCGATCATTAGGTTTGTCAAACCATCCGTTGCTACCGTTCGCAACGGCACGATCTCGCTTGGTCACTATTTACAGATTGCTTCGGTCGAACAGCATATTATTCCGCGCGTTTATTCCGGTGGTTGAATTCATGGCCGAGTGGCTCGCAAAATATGTTAGCCGGTGTAGCGGGAAGTGACAACTTATCGAATGCAATTGGCATGTATCTTTGCGTTAAATGCGTGCATTAAACGCATATATTTTATTTTGCTCGAAATATTATATAATCTATAATCAAAATATTATATAATATAACCCAGCAGTACGAAAATGTATATATTCACCGTTGTGTTCAATTATATATATTTTTCCGGAAATTAATCTCTAATTCGATATCTTCTCTATCGAATTTTCTACTTTATTTTTCGTTATAATTCATCATCAAATCATTATTCAAAGTATTATTTAATATGTAAAAAATATGTGCATTAGCATACTGAATGTAATTTATAAAAATGTATTATTGCGTAAATTATATTATATTATATAAAAGAAGAATTATATTATATTAAAAAAGAAAAAAAATATTCTTGTAATAAATTAAGCTTTACGCGTTACGCAAATGTGCGAGAAAGTAAATCAACGGAAGATACACAATCTGAAGATGGAAAAACTGGAGATAAAGGGAAATGGAAGGTAGAGAGAAAATAACGACGAAAACGCGCGCGTGTTCAACAGACATTCGCGCAGTAATTGTTTGAGAGAAATTATTTAGGAAGCTGCGTGAATTATCTGTGGACCACGCATTAACACGCTCATCTCGAGAGCTTTACAACATGCATGTCGATGGTATCGTAAAATTAATAATATTATTTAGCGACGGTAACTTTCGGTTTTGAGTAACACCGCCCGCGGGCCACCGCGCGCGACCTTCGGGCACGTGTGAACACGCGTGTTCTCGTCAGAAATTATTGAACGATGTCATTATTATCAAACTGGAATTACAGATATTATACGGTAAAAAATACACGCCTCAGTGTGAAAAGCAAAAAAGCGCGCGTTATCTTTATTTCGCAAGGAACCATACATTAGAGAAGAAACGATCGAATCGAAGGACACAATGATTGGCGGAACTATATATCGCATCGATGGCATCGAGATGAATTACCGCTGTACTAAATCGACGAGGGATATGAATCATAGGTATTATAATTAGTGTTTACCTAATGTCTCTCTAATTGCCGTTATTTAACGTCGAGGTCGTCAATGGATATTTGTCATCTCCGGGAGATAATTTGGCTGCGTAACAATTGCGATTGGGTGATTTCTGACCTAAGTCCGATACACACAAAAGCCACCGATCTTGTCGAATGGCCGAAAGTTATAGGATCCACCACGAGCCAACAATGTTAGACGTCGTCATAATAGAATCTCGATAGATCCGCCGCGCCTCCTCCTTCTCCTCCTTGCGCCACGCAATGTGTTTTGCAATGAAATTAAACGTACACGTGGGTCTCTAATTTCCAAATTAATTGCGCGCCAGTACTCGGTCCTCGTTAGTCTTCTCTTTGCCGAATTTCAAGACGCGGATACGTAAGCTCGTTAAATTAATCCACCGTATTCGCAATCGTCCCGCGGCAGCTCGGCGCAGATTGTGACGCAAAATGAACGAGATGCGCAGCTGTCTTAATATATTTCGGCATTGATTGTTCGCTGAATTTCAAGATCGTCGAATAAACGTCCAGCCACGTACGCCGTTCACTTCGCGACAAGATCCGTTCGCGAAAATCCGTAAAATCGCGTTCGTTGTTAACCGCGAGATCAGCAGATCGAAGTTAGTGGAGTATTGGGTCATCTCCGTAGAGCAATTATCGCAAGAATGACATTTACGATTTATGAAAATTAATATAATTTAAATATATTTATTAATACATTGCAATATATTACATGAGACCCGCGAGAGACGTTATCTCACGGAGTAATTATCATACTCATTACTCCAACGTTGCATCGAGTTATCGCAAAAACAGAGACGCGGCCAATTAATCGTGACTGACCAACGCTCGGAGGTCTCGTTTCGCCTGCTCCTCGAGTAAGTAATGGAGTAAGACACGCCATTATTTCGTACCGCGGAGAGGCCATTCCTGCTAACCCAAATACTACGGCACCGGCATTTTTACTTTCACGGCGGCATGACGAGCCAAACATACTTGAGTTGCTTCAACGAACTGTTACGCAGTCGGATGATTAAAGAGCCGCGAACGGCGCGGCGGGCCGCGATGACAATTCATCACCTGATACTTCGCGGATAGACATGTCCGGCGTGTGTGTTCGGTCGGCGCACCCGGCGCGGGGAAGAGGGGAGGGGAGGATCGTGATGAAAAATGACACCTCGCGAAATTATCGATGTACGCGGAATACAAAGCCTTGTTTCGCGCGGCGCCGCGCGGGTCAGTCCGTCGCGAGAGCGAGTCCTCCGTTATCCAAATATCCCGGTATAATTTTGTGGATCTGGCGCCCGCGTAACTCTTATAAAATCACACATGTCGCATTGTTGAACGCGAGACGATGAACGAGAGAGAACCTTTCGCGACTTGGTGAAGAAAGAAGAAGAAAGATCTGCTTTTAAATCGAAACAGATAAGCTCAATTTTATTACTAACTTTATTTTTATTACTAACGAGTAGAATTATCTAATTTTGTTCTAATAGTTTCTTAGATCCTATGAAACCGCACGTCGTATCGCTGAACGTGAAAACGACAGAATCTTCGCGATTTAATGAAGAAAGAAGATGGAAGATCTGCTCTTAAATCGAAACAGATATAAAGTTCAATTTTTTCATTAACTTAACGAGTGGAATTACCTAATTCTGTTGTAATAGTTTCTTAGATATATCCTATGAAATCGCACATCATATCGCTGAGCGTAAGACGATGAAGACGTGAGATAATCTTCGCGATTTGGTGAGAAAGAGAGAGTGAGAGAGATGTGCTTTTAAATCGAAACGGATAAAATCCGATTTTCCTAACTTGAGGAATAGAATTACTCGGTTAATTCTGTTTCTAATTTTTAGATCCTAAAGATAAGAGTGAGAATTTATAATCTATAAGAAAATCGACGCATTAATTGTTTATTCATTTCATTTGTTTGAGATAGCTTAAATATGTTATACATAGATTGTAACTAAAATTTCATTGTTCTATGATTTTATTTGCAAAAATATGAGTTTATTATGCATAAATAGACTTATTAGCATAGATATAAATTAAAATTGCATCTTTTATTCGTGGCGCGATCTATGGTACCTTTCACTCACTCTCTGACTTCTTATGATTGTTAACATCCAGTCGGCGTCAGATATGACAAACACAATCATGATTATTGTCAGTATCGTTTATACTCAATTTCTAAAGAGAAAGGAGACTCGTAGAGTTTATTGACGATATGAGACATACTCGATTTCATTCGTTTTCTCTATAACTACCTTTTATTCGAAATATAAAACTCCGCTGGAGATTTTAGTCTCAATTCTGCTTTATCGGTAGAAATCAGGTAGAAATCGGCAAGAAATCCTACAAGAAATCAGCTAGAGGACTCAAACTGACGTTTCGGTTGCGTCTCTCGTGGTGCGTGAAGCTAAGATGATAATGCTAAAGATCGAACATAATTAACGCGTGAATTTCTCTTAAATCAAGATTATCCCCAAAAATATTTGACGTACGAAAATAGGACAGATCTGTTTTGCATTCTTTTAAGAAATGATTTTAATAACTGCCATAAAAATGCGCTAATATTTCTAGTTGCAAATGACCACACAGCGTAGCGAAGACGCTGTAAAAATTTTGCAAAAGACACCATAAATTCGATCGTAAAATTCGATTCATAAAATTTGGATTTCTTATTGCTCTTGAAGCTGAAGCACCATACAGGAAATTTTTAGCGAAGATTTTTTATGCAGACTCACGAACTCTTGAATCAATTCGTAGATTTTTCTAAAGAAACACTCGGTTGATGTACAATTTCGTCAACAATTCCTGAATCGTAAGCAATTAAAAACCTTGAAATTGTCATAAATTAAACGTCAAGGATACAAGAATAGATAGAATTCTCGGTTTATTCTCTCTGCTAATTTTAAATAAATTCTATTTCGGCAAAAATTTGACGATCAAAATATAGCAAGACAACTTAATGTTGGGACATTAAACGTTGCGAAAAATTATGGTGTCTATTTAAGTTTAAAGGTAAAGTCCCTCGAGTATTCGACACAAAATATTGCGTTGTTTAGCAAATATATATTCTTACTGCCAGCTGAGATACAATCGGAATTTTTATTCAAATTTAAATATAAAATAAAGCATAAAATAAAATGTATAACATGCTTTTTGTAATTGGACGAACTTAGCGTTTCTTTACGAGCAACGATGGATGCACTAACATGAGAGGTAATTACATCCCGGGATGCATCATCGAGAAAGAGAAAGAGAAAGAGAAAGAGAAAGAGAAAAAGAAAGAGAAAGAGAAAGAGAAAGAGAAAGAAAAAGAGAGAGAGAGAGAGAGAGAGAGAGAGAGAGAGAGAGAGAGAGAGAGAGAGAGAGAGAGAGAGAGAAGCAGGCATTGACCTCCATTACCGAATTCGTGTCTCCCGGTCATTTCGCCCGCGCGTAATGTGCGACTCGGTTTCATCAAAGACTTTCGTTTTCACGTGTATCTACTTATACCTCGGGAGAAAGGATCCAGATGCTACTGTCCGAAAGGATATTTACGTGCCGACACGAGTCCTTCGACTTATGACCTCTTTTTCTCTCCGAGAGATCAACAACGCGCTACAATCGTAGATAAGTATTAAAGATTTGTAGTTTTCGAAAAGGAAGAGACTCAATTGATGAAGCAAACCTGATAACGTACATTTTTTTCTGTAACTGGAAATAATCCTTTGATGTATGTATATAATATTTTATCGTAAGCAATTAAAAACCTTGAAATTCTCATAAATTAAACTTCAAGGATACAAGAATAGATAGAACGGTTTATTCTCTCTGCTAAAATAAAAAAAATTTATTCAATATATTTAAATTATATCAAACTAGGTTACAAAGCGTTTTTTTTTGTAAAACAAAAATATCTTATTTTTCAAACAAAATGCGTGAATATGAGAATTTTTATTTAAGTACAAAAAAAGTATAAAATAAAATATACACGATAAAAAAGAAAATTAAATCTTTTTTTTCGTCATATACATTATTGAAATAAAGTGAAATTTCTTCTTGTGGAGTGACAACATCTTTTAAACACCTTTTTATTATTCTTTAAAAATAATTTAGAAGTTAAAATACTACATACAATCTTCATTTATCCGAGAAAATAGTTAAGAAGCAGGAGCGCAATCAACCTGTCACACGGTCATGATAAATGATAAATGAAGTTGCGTATTCGGCTTACGTTGCGCCCGTCAAGGATCCACGGATTTGTTACACGTTGGCTGAATTTACGAACGTTGCACGAAGTAACGAAAATTCACACAAGGAGTTTACCGGGTCAATGGAATGCGGGCGAAAACTGACATCGTATTAGGTGGTGCCGCGCGCTTCTCTGCTAAGAGAAAAATTTATGATCGACTTAGCGAAGGGAAATTTTATCTTTCTCCCGGCCCCTACGCAAAGGGATAATCCTTTGTGGCAGAGGCGTGTTTGCCTCACAAGATTTACCTTGTCATCTTCAATATTTTACAGAGTGATGTTCACGCGATGAAGTTAGCCTTCAAACGCGCACGAGTGTCGGATCTTGAACTTCGTTGTGGATTTTCTAAACTGGCAATTTATCTCGCCTTTTTAAAATAATCTTTTAATTAGTTTTCGAAAATAGGCTATTTAGCTTGTCTACAAACACGCAGCTATTTTGACTAAACTGATCTCGGGTTTTGACAGCCTTAGGTAAGCGCATGCCACACGTGCTTACTTTGTGATCCCCGAAGGCAGACTCGGTAAGGATACAAATGAATTTGCTTTCGCAAACATAAAGTAAATATTAAGAATTTTTATCAACCATATATTTAATATCAAGTATTATAACAAATAAAAAATCTCTCACGTAATCGTTCATCTAAATCTAAATATTCTAAATAGAGGGACAGTTCGAAAATTGGACGAGAAAGAATTCTGGAATGTGGTATCTCCGCGCGATATTTCCAAACGTGTTACATTCGACTTTCGCATAAAATTCGACAGACGCTTCGATAAACACGAGTGTCACGAATATCATTCAGGAGGCATTATACTGCCAATTTTGCGGTCATCTTGCCTCGCGTCCCACTATCAATTTCGTCGAAAATGTCGCAACGTACGTATATGTCAACGTGCTAGCCAGAAATCTATCAATAAGAGGGAGATACTCGTATTTAGCAAGGTTTCGGCAATACTATATAAAAGGCGTCTCCTGAATTTCGGTTTTACAACTGGACACACAGTCGCCATCGGCATCATGAACGCTTTGGTAAGTCTTAACAAGATTAAAATAAAAAATCACCAACTCACGCTGCTGAGCATTTTTTTACATCTTTTATCGTACGATTTTTTATTAAAAAGATATTACAAATGGTGTTCGATAGTCAAACAAATCCGTTCTAAATTAGCTGCTATTAAGAAATTATAAATGCCAGTTATAATAACGCGGACGTATATAATAAGACTTGAATTCATATATATTTTGGTTAGAAAATATTACATAATCCATGTAACAAAATTCCATACTTTTGAGAGACATTTTCCTTCTGAGTTAATCATAAACAAATTTCTTCCAGACCGTCGCACTTTTCTGCGTGCTCGCAGTGGCTACATTCGCCGCACCCCCGAATTTTTCGCAAAACACTCCCATTCCCATCGTGGCTTCGCACCTGGACGGACCGAATCCGGACGGTTCATACAGCTACGGCTATCAGACCGGAAATGGCATCCAGGTGCAGGAGCAGGGCCAGCTCGCTCAGATCTCCAAAGACGAGGACGCTATTCGCGTTCAGGGATCCTTCAGCTATTCCGATAACGTTGGCAACCCCGTCGCCCTGAGCTACACTGCCGATGAAAACGGTTTTCATCCTAATGGTGAGCATTTACCGGTCGCGCCACCGGTGCCCGACGCCATCCTGAGAGCCTTGGAGTACATCGCTCAACATCCCGAGGAGGACAACCTGTAGAAACGTTATAGTAACGTACACACATTGTTCAGACTGAAATCTCAGCGATCCTGCGATTCTATGATCGTGCAAACAGCTCGCGTACGAAATTACATCTCCTACCGTTGACATAAAAATATACAACATAGGACGTGAAGTATAAAATATTTATTTTGGCGAAGAGTTTGAAACCTGAAACGAAGAAGGAACAAATTGCCAATTCAGGATGATGTTATAGTCTCATCTGTCTCATACTCACAAATAATACTGAATTAAATACTTAATTCAATATAATTACAGGAAGTTGAAACTGTTAAATCTATAATGTTGGAAATTAAACGTGTTGAAATTACGATTTTTGGACTTTATATTTCTCGCTCCATTTCTAGCGCATTCAAATAATTTAGCAAATTTCCTTCGGCGAGAGCGTTGTCCCGGAGCCGAATTAGCGCAGTCAATTAGCACTTGCTGCATTAATTAAGGAATCACGTAGCGCGCATACTGTGTATACAAAGCCACCGTAACAGCAACGTTTATATTAAACGTTTATATTAAACGCTGCCTCTATCGACAAAATAAACGTGCTTGAACGTTGACTCACGCTTTCTTTCCTCGACTGAAATTTATCTGACTGCCGAGCGTTAAACATATCACGACTATTCCGCTCATTAACGTATCAGATCGCTCGTGATTTGAATACGTCGGTGATCGCAAATTAGCTAGCTGGTCGGGGCTAGCTAGTTCGCAATTATACGAATAAACACTAAGCAACATTTAATGATGAGCCGAGTAGATGACGCAATAATGATCGAATGTGACGAAATAGTGAGAAACGTATTGGCGATCGAATATAATTCGCGAAATTTCGTAAATCTCCAGGTGTATAATTATATAATCACATATTTCTATATCTTTATAATATATACATATCCCTTATGCCTTTTCAGAGGAATTGATTGAATTCCCGCGAAGAGAATCGCGACAAAAAAAATCTCGTGTCAAAATTTACGCGCCGCATTCTCGTAGAATCGCCACGTGAGTTGCAATACTTTGTCCAGGAATATCCCCGAAGGTGGATTTTCGCAATTCCGGCTGAGAAATAGCGCTGGGCGAGCAATCTCCCGGGGACGCGAGCGGAGTGGCGCGCGCTAATCCAAAACGAGCGACACGATCCTCGCGTAGCACGTATCCTCGCGGATACACAAAAGCGCGCGATTTAAATAAGATAAATGCTCGCGTCTTACGGCGGGACGTGCCGCGGGTATAAAAACGAGAATTACGACATCGCATTAGCCGAGCGTCCGACGTTCAGGATGCTCCGGCTGTTCCTGGACGATGCGCGCGACGCGACGCGACGCGTCCGGCGCGGCGCCGAAAAAGAAGAAACGCCTATGTGGATTAAAACGAACGCTAATACATGTGTCGGACAAAACTGCGTATCGGCCCGTCGATCGGATCCTTCACGCGCGAATCCTTCTACGCATGTATGCATTAATAGAGATGTAAAATACGACGACGTGTGCCAACCAAACGAGCGTCGCTCGATTACGAGCTGTGCTCGGGAGGAGGCGATCCTTGAAATTAATTTATTCCTAAGGTATTTTCCATATTCAACGTGTATATATACCTGTGGTCGGAACGATTAAATCACTGGTTCGTCGCTGATGCGCTTCCAAGGAATACCGTGGATAATGGGACGAAATTGCGCGGCGCGGCGGGGAAACGCTCTCGCGCGTCTACTCTGTCTCTCGTACGTTAAATTGAAAATATTTTCCGCGGCAAGACGAGCCTCTTCAATCTCGGAGTGTGGCATCTTTCCTCCCGTAAATCACTCTATCTCGAGAGCGTGTTTCAAGAAATCTACGCTGAACGGAAAAAGATGATATTTCCTCCAATCAGTTTCCTCTACTTCCGATTTTTTTTTTACGACAAATTTGCATTAATTTATCATTCTGTTCGTTAATTATTGATTTCTAAATTAATCGAGGACGCCTAGGATTGTAGCTTAAACATTATGTTTTATATAAAAATAGAACTGAAAATTACGGCGCAATTAATATTTATCAGTCGGCTAGAGCATCATTATAATAAATTATTCGTCGTTTTGAATCTCGTTAAATTCCTATTAATTCTTGCCTCATATCCCTTGCCTTGTGTATACCGTCCAATCGAAGTTCCCTACATCTCTACAAGCCTCGTACCTCGGTAGTATCCGCCACCGGAATCTGCATACGAGTCTCGCAATCAGCGGATGCAACGATTGGATGCACCTCGAAATATCTAATCGCCGGGCTCGATCATCGTAGATCTCGCGCGTGTTCCGCCGTCATGTAGATCACGGCCCGGCTCTGAATTACTGCGATTGACAGTTCTAGATACGCTCTGGCACGACCGACGCGTCGGAAAGTGTGACTGTTTTAAAAATGCATCGCGATTAACTGTTGTGTGAGTGGTCCCCGACACGAGGTAATTGCTTCACGGAAGCAAATAAGATATTTCGCTATGAATAAAATAGTCAGTCTAAAATAATAAAATCCGGAAAAATGAAATCTTAAACGTTTCTTGCAAATTTTGATTTTTGATACTAGGTATTCATGTTTCATTCTTATTTTAAGACCGTCTTAAGTAATGTCTTAAGATGCTAATACTCTAAGATTGACTTAACATTTTAAGATTGTGCTTAAGACGGTCTGAAATATAAGATCTGAATATATGAATACTGGCCTAGACTTAATCTTTTTTCCTTTTATATAAAACATGATAATAAGCAATGGAACAAGATGACAATCGTCTCTAACAATCGTCGCTCGTGTGGAAATCTCATTATACTCTCAACATCGTATATCGTATTTTTGTAAGGTTCGTCTCTTAGTCGACAGACATCGAGCACCGTCAATTAAATACGCGAAACCGCCTCGCGCGAAATATCTCTACACGGATCTGAGGTCCGTCTCCGCGGGCGGTGGATATAATAGCTGGTTGCACGCTCGAAGGATCTGATCTGATCCCGATCTTTCTCCTTGCACTGTACTCTCCTCTTCTTTCATTGCAACTGGCGCGACCTGGAGATCGAATCGTTGCACGGACGGAACGGTTTCAAAGGTCCCAGCGGTATTTTCGAGTTTATTTTCTACAAATAAATTAAAGCAGCTCCGAGATTCTGAGAACATTGCACAAACGACGTAGAAACCTTTTTCCCAGTAGAATGTTTTTCTTTTCTGTTACGGATGATAAAAAGATTAAGTTTTCTGTAATATTTTGTTATTCATTATTCTTCTCAGCAGTTACATAAGAAATTATTTTATAATCTCCGAAAAATTAGTTTATTGTATTCAGTTAGTTATACTTCTTTATGTCTGTTTAACTTAATAAACGCCCGAGAGAGCGTTTCGATATTCGTTAAAGACTTCGCTGAGTTAGGCGGCGTAGTTATGTAACTGTAACTAGACCAACAAACCAGGTCGTCCGATTACTCATCGGTTCCTCTCAGGTATGCACGTCATTTCGTTGCATCGCGCCTTCGCAGAGGAGAAAGTCTTCCTCGTCACGATGTCGGCCCGCGCGAACTCTTTAGATACTAGTTATAGATTTTTCGACGATCCGATTGATTCCCGTATCAGCCTGTGCAATCGCGTAGTCACGTTCGCGCGCTTAAGAACCGATAAATAATCTCAACGGAATAATAAGATGCCGTGCGACTCTTCACAGCTAATCACCGAGTCGCGAAAACGCTTAAGACAATTATCTTTAGTATTCTCGATTTTACGATCCGACGTATAGTCTCTGCAATTTATATGTTACAATATACAGGTAAAAGGTTTTTCTTCAAATAACTTCTTTTAATTTACAGCTGTAATTGGGAGAAGTTCGGCGCGGTTAACCCTTCAACCGATCGCGGTGGCATTTTGACGTGGTTTTATGCCGCTGATAAATTTTCCGTTCCGCGGTCTTTTATGCGTTTCGCTGAAAGCGGTATACAGACGCGACGATGTATGTCTTAATGCGTCTCGTAAAGAACTACGAGCGTTAGAGTTTTTTCAGCCGGAGCTTTGCCTCGGCGCGATTAGGCGAGACGATTCTCGACGCGCGCCTCTTGCAACATAATGTCATAGATCATAGATCATAGATTGTACGACTCCGTGGATCATGAATTATCCAGTCATGAAAATCAACAAGAAACTGCAAATTTTTGTTTAAAAAAGAATTTCCAATCGCGAAAGAATGATGATCATGCCAGAGCCCGAGTATACGCAACGTATTCGCATTCGCCGATCTCAACTTTAATGGCAGAGCCTGAATTCGGGGTCGATTGATAACAATTGCGTCAGCACGCATACTCCGCGAGTATATTCCGCAAAAAAGCAATCCCCTCGATAATGAGCGTGCGAACTTAAGCCGAACAAAATGTAAGACAGCGACGGGAGTACAAGCCACTGTAAGACGTGCGTGTGTATATGTGTGGAGAGCGACCTTGACATATAAGTATCCACCACGAACGCTCTAAGAGAGCGCCTGATGGCCGCAGGCGAGAAGACGTAACGCGCGCGCCGAATTGAATTTTACTTTCATTCCGCGTGAAACGCGCTGCTTCTCCTGGAGACGGCGCGAAAATTACTTTGACAATTCGTACGTGAGAGGCGGGACGGCGCGCGACCGACTTTTAAGGCGGCCGATTAACGCGGGAGTGTAGCTTATACCTACTCTTCCCCCACGTTCTCTTGCGCGGTATTAAAAATTCCCCGATCGGCTCGATATCCGCGAAACAGCGTTGTTCTTCTTCGGCAACATACTCGATTCAAATCCTATCCCGGACATGCTTGTGCACCGGTGAAGAAATCCTATACGGATATTCCGAGGAGCGACGAAGAACATTCTGTTGTCGAGAAACGCGAACGTTTTCCTAGGTTTCTCGGTAAGGAAGGTTAAAAGCGTTGTGCAAATCGCAGTTGCAATTTCGATGTAATAGAATAATTGGCGCGTATATTACCATTAACAAGCTAGCAATTATTTGAGGCATCGTCGCTGGCGCGGTTCAATATGTTATGGATGAATAATCGGAATAGCACTTTTTAACTGCAGCTTAAAAATGCAGCTGTTAAACGAACGCAGCCATTAGTTTGCACGCGAGAAAAAAAATAAAACGGCCAAGATCTTCGAGTATCGGTTCATCTTGGATTGAGGTAGAAATACCATGTTGTAGGAAAATTCATTAATCATTCATGACGATGTAGTAACTACGAGTATATTTATGGCGTAGTCAATATAAACGTGTATTTCACGTTTAGGTTTATCAGTCACATGGCGATATTTTACAAATCTAGACTTAATTCAGTAAATCGGAAAACGGTACGAAAAAGATATATGGATTGCAATAAAAACTATAAATAACAATGATACGTAAACGTTAATAACTGACCTATTTTATTTCGCAAGTGTGTCTGTATATCAAACGAATAAATATTGTCAATAATTTCGACGTATTTAAAATAAAAATTCAAGAATATAAAAATACTTTAAATGCCGTTGATGGTCAATTCATCGATTTCGTTTCCAAAGGCTAATTAAACTCCAAGTTAATTAAACTGCAAGAAAGACTCGTCAATGAAGTAAAATAATAAGATCGACGTCATAACGATACGATATCTGTATTTCTTTCGTCGTTATTCTAAATAATAAAATGTTCTTCTATAATATCAAAAATCAAGAGGAAAAAAAATTAATTATTAATTAAACTTCTGAAGATTTCTATTAAATATCAAAAGATGATAAATGATATCGTAATGGATGGTTCTTTTATGTTAAATATTTATTAAACATAAAAAATAAGAAAATTATTATAAATTTATATAAGACCGTATTGTCACTACAAGACATAATTCTCTGTTTATGATGAGTCAACAAGCATCTTTGAACCTTTCAAGGAGTCGATGCAATCGATTAAAAGAGCAATTGAGAAAGCGATCTGGCAAATCTCCCGATACTATACATATATGCAACGAACGTTTGTTTAGCATCTAAAATATCACTGACTTACAGGATCCCATATTGCGATATATGTATTACATAGAGAACGAGTAGAGAAACAAACGAGGCTGTGCAGCCTGCAGTCTGAGTCAACGGACCCAGATAACAGTCG